TCGTTGACAATTTCATTTCCCAGAAGATGGAAGAAGCAACGAGGGGAATCATCTATTTTGGACCTCACTAACTTGGAGGAACTGATCAACAAAATGGGGAAACTTTGAAGGAAATAATTTTGTTCTCCTGGGTTTCAGGATACAGAACTCCAAAAGCTTAAAAATCACTATTTTGGGGGGAGGTTCCACCAGCAATTTATTCCTAAAACAATTTTACTTTTTGAAATCTGGCAACCCTATCCAGAACTAAGCCTACAGGTAGCCAGAGACCCTTTGCAGTTGCTCCAAATTGGGCATTAAAATCCCTGCCCCAAACAAAGCATAAATGCTAGGGGGAATGTATGACTGATCTGATCATATGAATTGGAAAGCTTGCTTAGATTTGTAGTACAGTAATAAATAAAAATGGAGTGTGTGTTTTTCCCAGACATCCATTGCATTTGGAGAACGCTTTCTCGGGCAGGGAGTCGCCTAACCTGAAAGAGGTGTGGTATCAAATTTAAGATTCTCCCACGCTGCCTGGGTGCATCCTAGCAAAGCAAAGCACATCCTCTTGACAGATTTGCCCTGCTGCCAATCTAAGCCAGGAGTGGGCAGAAGGTTGGTGGCCAATTTCTGGTGGGTCATCTTAGCGCCTGGGTGGTAGAACCCCAACTTCTAGAGCTGGCGGGGCTGTGGGTCAGCAATAGAGCGGCTGCTCTGCATGCAGAAGGTCACAGGAACGTGAGAAGAGCCTGCAGAAGGAACAGGCCAGGGGCCCATCGAGTCCAGCGTCCTGCCCTCGCACTGGCCAGCCAGATGCCTCAAATGGAAACCAACAATCAGGATTAGAACACAAGACCAACTCTGCCCCTCCTGGGGTTTCCAGCAACTGGTATTCAGAAGCATTGCTGGCTACAGCTAGGGAGGCAGAGCATAGCCATTGTGGCTTTCAGCCATTGCTAGCCCTTTCCTTCAAGAATTTAATCTGGCCATCACTGCCTCCTGTGGCAGGGAGTTCCATAGTTTAATAATGTGCTTCTTCTTTTTTGAGCTGTACTTTCCTTTTAGCTGTCTTGAAACTTCCGCTACGTCTCAGGTCCCTCACCCTCTATTTTAAAGGTACCAGAGAAGTACCTATAGAGAAACATCCTTCTCTGCCTGGACAGTCGCTGCAAGCCAGAGCTGACAACCTCTGGGCTACGAGGACAGAGCTGGAGAAAATGAGTGTCCACTTGGTAGATCGGGAAAGGTACTTTGTACGTTACTAAGTTTTGTAACTTAGATAGCATCTTAAAAAGTAGAGACATCAGCTTGCCAACAAAGGTCCATATAGTTAAAGCTATGGTTTTCCCAGTAGTGATGTATGGAAGTGAGAGCTGGACCATAAAGAAGGCTGATCGCCAAAGAATTGATGCTTTTGAATTATGGTGCTGGAGGAGACTCTTGAGAGTCCCATGGACTGCAAGAAGATCAAACCTATCCATTCTGAAGGAAATCAGCCCTGAGTGCTCACTAGAAGGACAGATCCTGAAGCTGAGGCTCCAATACTTTGGCCACCTCATGAGAAGAGAAGACTCCCTGGAAAAGACCCTCATGTTGAGAAAGATGGGGGGCACAAGGAGAAGGGGACGACAGAGGACGAGATGGTTGAACAGTGTTCTCGAAGCTACCAGCATGAGTTTGACCAAACTGCGGGAGGCAGTGGAAGACAGGAGTGCCTGGCGTGCTCTGGTCCATGGGGTCACGGAGAGTCGGACACGACTAAATGACTAAACAACAACAAAAAGTTTTGTAAATTCAATATATTAGCGGGGAAGGGGGAGCAAGTGAAGACGGACCCCTTCCAATCAAAGCACTTGTTTCGAATTAAATTTGGTTTCTTTGGGTTTATCCGGAAAAGAGCAAAACAGAAATCTGACCGCCTGTTACAAACTGCGCTTTGTACTCCAGACACGCCGACAATGAGAAGACTTTAACAAGCAAACAAGCCCAGACAACTGACATGGGCAACCTACCAATTATTTTTAACGCAGCTGGAGAATCGGAGGGATTTACGAGAGTCCCATTTTGGGGGGAAGCTGAGACAATGCTTCAGTCTCAACTCCTGAGGCGCCTGCTTGTCTTTGCATCATCCATTCTGCTACCACTGGTTTTCGATTAAAGTGCACCCGGACAACCAGATATCTCTTGAGTATAGCAGGGGCAGCTGGGCATTGGCTGTCCTGCTGTGACATCACAGAACGCTCACGTCCCAGGTGTTTCCATTGAAAAGGCCTCCACTGGAATGACAGCAAACAGTGCAACTTCTGCGATGGAAGAGGGCAATCCGATTGGATGGAAGGAATAGTAGAACAGTTGGAGGGAAACCCAAGAGTCATCTAGTCCGAACCCTTGCAATTCAGGAATTTCAGCTTAAAATTGCTGCAATAAACCCCAGGAAGTGTTGCATTTTATTGCACATCTGATTTCAGAAGGTGGTTCTCAAAAACTCCTGGATGTTTTTCCCCGTAAAGGTCCTACAGATATTTATATTTTGGCTCCACGTTATTCAGCACCCACATCAGGGGTCACTCCATAAAATCGTAGAGTTGGAAGGGACTCCGAGGATCATCTAGTCCAGCGGTGTCAAACTCATATTCATCGGGGGCCACATCAGAACGGCCGGCGTCGCTAGAGGGCAGACGTTCTCTGGCTTGTAGGCTGCCGCGCATGCACTGAAGAGGCGGCTTTCTTGTGTCAAAAAAAAAAAAAAAAGCGAGAATAATAGGTGAAGGCTGGCGGCCGGCGGCGGCTACACGGGCCACATGGCGAGGTCTGGTGGGCCGGATTCGGCCCGCGGACACCCGTGATCTAGTCCAACCCGTTGCATTGCAGGAAAATCCAACTATCCCATACAGGAATCGAACCTGCAACCTTGGCATTATCGGCACCACGCTCTAACCAACAGAGCTATCCCAGCTCCAGCTCCTGGATCATTTCGTTGGCCCTTTGTCAGCACTCCGACTTGCCAATCGGAAAGTCGGCGGTTCGAATCCCTGTGACGGGGTGAGCTCCCATTGCTCTGTCTCAGCTCCTGCCAACCTAGCAGTTCGAAAGCACACCAGTGCAAGTAGATAAATAGGTACCACTGTGGAGGAAAGGTAAATGGTGTTTCCATGCACTCTGGTTTCCATCACGGTGTCCCATTGCACCAGAAGTGGTCTAGTCCTGCTGGCCACATGACCCAGAAAGCTGTCTGTGGACAAACGCTATAACGGCATATATAAATCACATGCCTGAAACCCCACAGAAAAAGTCCTGAAACCATTTTGTCCCTCCCAAATTGACCTCAAATATTTCTCTGCAAGGTCAAAGGAAAATGGAAAGGCCTCCCCATTCTCTTTTTGATCACAAATCCTGTCTTAAGGGTATGTCTGTGTATGAATAGGGTGAGCCTGTGACCTGGCTCAGGAACTAAGTATTTATCATTACAAAAGACTGGTCAGGCTCCCCAGGGTACCCAATCAAGTGACCATTAACAGGTAACCTTCCAGACAGGAGATAAACAACGCACTCAGATTTCTGTTGTAGACCGCCCTTTCTGTAGGTATGATGTTTCTGAGGGTGGTCTTGGACTCCAGGGCGGGCAATTTAAAAGGTCTATATAAGGGTGGGCACACATTTGTTCTGGGTCCTCCTCCTTTCCTGCATGTGAGGGGAGCACCCTGTTGCAACAATCAATAAATCAACAATCAATTACTAGCTGCTTTGCTTCTCAATATTCTCTGGTTGGCCTCTGTTATTTTCTCCCACTGATGGAGAACCTACAAAGGACTCTACAGTCATACTTCGGCGTTAAAGTCGCTTCAGGTTGAGCGTTTTCAGGGTATGCTCCGTGGCGACCCAGAAGTAACGGAACGTGTTACTTCCGGGTTTCGCCGCTCGCGCATGCGCTCAAAATGACGTCATGCGCATGCACAGAAGCGGCAAATCGCGACCTGCGCAGATGCAGGTTGCGTTCTGCTCAGGATGCGAATGGGGCTCTGGAACGGATCCCGTTCGCATCCAGAGGTACCACTGTATAAGGGCTCTTGTGTCCCCTATAAGGGAATAAGGGCAGATTTTTGTTTATTACATTCGGTATTTGAACTATTGGTACAGTGGTACCTCGAGTTACATACGCTTCAGGTTACATACGCTTCAAGTTACAGACTCCGCTAACCCAGAAATGGTACCTCAGGTTAAGAACTTTGCTTCAGGATGAGAACAGAAATTGTGCGGCGGCAGCGGGAGGCCCCATTAGCTAAAGCGGTACTTCAGGTTAAGAACAGTTTCAGCTTAAGAACGGACCTCCAGAACAAATTAAGTTCTTAACCCGAGATACCACTGTATTAATGATTGTATTATAGATGGGTGTTGCTATAAGGAGGCTATTGCTGAATTGTAATGGGAAACTAAGAAACAATATTATCAGAAAGCACTTTCTTTTGTTCCAAAACCAAGCTAAACCCCAAATCCTTCTTCTGCAGTCATCCAGCCCTTAAGGCGGTGCTGTGCTGACAAAGCGAGCCTCTTCTGGCTGATCTTTTCCCCCTCCTCCCCTCTTCTCTCCTCCTCGTCTTCTTCCTTTCCTGCTAATACATGTGTTTCTTGTTTTCTACTGTAGCATATGCAGCGCGGCTCATATTTATATTTTAAGTAGATCTGGTGGGTGGGCTCTAAGGAGCAGCCTCTCCCCCGCCCTTCCACAGGAAGTAGTCCAAAACATTAAAAAAAAGAGATCCCCCCTTTCTCTTTTTTACTTCTTTCTTTTCAAAACCATCCTAATAATTAAAAGCAATCATTTTGCAAGGCGGCTGCTCCTCCCAGCTTGAAATCTGATCCTAACTGCTGTTGCAAAGAAAGTTGTGTGAGTGTGTGCGGATGTGTTCGGGTTTTCCCCCCCTCTCTCTTTTTTGCAAGATGCGCGGAGGGGGGGAGTAAGGAGGGGGGTGATATTTTTTTTCCTTTCAAAAAAAAAAGGGGAAGGAAGGCGGATCCACGTGGTTTAATCGGAGACAGACAGAGATCCCATTGTTCGCAATCAATATATAAAAAAAGAGGCAGCCGGGGCTTTTGGAGGGGGGGGGCAAGAATTAGATGCGGGAAGATTCGGAACCTGTATTCAGACGTACATCTTGCAAGAGGAGGATTCCAACCAGTCGGTATTTCTGATTGAAAGCTGGAGGGGGGAAATAAGACGACCCAAGAAAGCTAAAGTTTGTTCTGTGTTTTCTTTTTTCTTTTTCCATCTCCTAATTTTGCAAACTAGCACATTTTTTTTTTAAAAAGGTGGAGTGGGGGGTGATTGAAGATTTGGGGGCAGGGGTGCTTTTTTGAGGGGATGGGGGAAAATTATTATTCTTCTTTTTTACCTTTTTCCAGCAAAGGCCCAAACAAAAACAAAAAAGGACTGGAAATCGGGACGGTTGAAATTTATTTATTTTTTTGCACCGAGAATTGGGTGTTTTGTTACCGGGTTTGGGGGGACGACGCGGATTTAGTTGCACCTGGGGGGGGCAATAATATATTATTACTAATTTAACAGGAAGGAGTTGAGAATCGGGTAGGATTATAGATATTCTCTTATTTATTCAAAGTCTTTCTCTTCTTTTTTTTGCACTTGAGAGGGTTGGCCCCCTCCACCCAAAACAATGGGTGTGTAGTTTTCTGAAAGAGTTTCTAATTTTAAATCTGTTTTTAATTTATTTTTTTAAAATTGAAATGTTAAAATACTTAGTGTAGCGTGGGAGAGGAACAAGTTATCCCAAGACTTTTACTTTTTAAGAATCCATCCGGTTTTGTGTTGCAATGCTTTCGTTAAACACTTTTGTGCATTTGCACGAGGTGGGGGCTTTCTCCCTCCTTCCAAATTTAAGATTGCAAACTGCTGTGCGTTGATGGGGAAGGGGCTTCCTTTTCCCCCCTTAATGCGCTTTGTTCTGTTTTCAATACATTTTGGTGGGGGGGGGCGAACAGCTGGGTGTTCTTTTTGTTTTTTTAAAAGCAATTGAAAAGTTGTGTATTTATTCCAGATATTTGTTTCTTGGGGTGCAGTCGGGCTTCGGAGGACACCCCCTCCAATTTCTCATTGCATTATCTCCCAATTTCTCATTGCATTATCTGTTTAATGAAATCTGGTGTGTTGGTGCAGGTCAATTTAATAGTTAAATTTCCAAAATTGCTGGGCGAGTCTCTCCCCTCTTGTAAGTGTAGCAAACACTGAGACAGTGAGAAGTAAGTTTTTTTTCCTTGTGTGTGTGTTTTTTTTGCTGAGGGAGGGGGGAATTCCCTGTTTTAAAACTGAAAAAAATGCTAAATTGGAGGAAGGGAGTCATATATTTAAAGGGGTAATTTTGAGGGGATATTTAGGGTATTTTCCCTTCCATTGAATGGGGGTTGTGGGGTCAAAAAACCCTCAGTTTTAATGTATGGGGCTTGACTCACCCTCTCGTTATTTTATACGGGTTCCTTAGGGAGCATATATATTTATATATATATACTGTATATATGCCTAATTTGGGGAAGAAATTAATAGATTTTTTTTGAGACAACTGGGGAGGGAGCCTGGGCTTCCCCCATATTTTATGGGGTGTCGGGTTATTTGGGGGGGGGCTCTTAGCCCTATATTTGACCTACAATGGGGAGTTGCTGTGTTTTCCTGTGAGGTGTCACCCCCCCCCCACAAAAACCAACCCTTTCCCTCTTTAATTTTGGAGAAGCATGGGCCATTTTTGTGTGTGTGTAAGGGATAGACAGTGATGGCTTGCTCTGTTTCCCCTAACCTTTTTTGGTGGGGTGGGAAGGGGAAGGAGGACTTTGGAAATGGGGGGGGGTGTCAGAGGGTGTTCCCTTGCAGCCCTAAAACTATAGGTTTCATGCTGGGGGGGGCTGGTTGTGTTGGAATGGGTTGCCCCACTTTGTGTGGGGTGCTTTTTGGAGCAAGCCTCTTGAACGGCAACAAGATGGACAAGTTTTGTTTGGGGTCGGTGTCTAAGGCCTAGTTTACGAATTTCCCCTATTCGCACACAAAACTCTGGTTTTGTGACTTGTGAGGCTGCTTATGTGAAAGGGAATTGATTCCCTGCCCCACATATTGCATTATTGGGGGGGGACAGGCTATCTAGGTTCCCCCTCCCCATACTTAAAACACATATAAGTAAATTATTGGGGGGGTTCCCCCCTGACCCACTGTTAGGATTGGGTTTAGCCCAGGGGTAGGCAACCTAAGGCCCAGGGGCCGGATACGGCCCAATCACTTTCTCAATCTGGCCCACATGTAAAGTGTTTTTACATGTGTAGAATGTGTCCTATTATTTAAAATGCATCTCTGGGTTATTTGTGGGGCCTGCCTGGTGTTTTTACATGAGTAGAATGTGTGCTTTTATTTAGAATGCATCTCTGGATAATTTGTGGGGCATAGAAATTCGTTCATTTCCCCCCCCAAAATATAGTCCGGCCCACCACATGGTCTGAGGGACGGTGGACCGGCCCACAGCTGAAAAAGGTTGCTGACCCCTGGGTTAGCCCATTACATTATTTCCCACCTCCCCAATATTTATGGGGGTTCTCACCCCAAAATCTTTTTGGGGTTCTCACTTTTTCACTGCGAGGTAGAGATATTTTATAGAGGGGCTCCATCTATTTGGCTGGCCAAATCTGTTTCATTTTCTAAAGGCCATGTGGGGTTTAATGTTTGGGGAGGGGTTGAGCTATTAGCCAGCCGTCCCCCCCCCAAAAAAAATAACCCTCGTCTTTATTTTGTGGGGTTATCACTCCCTCTTTCATATATGGGAGTTTATATTTCTCCACCACACAAACACAAAAGTTTGGTTCGTGGTCCCAGGGACTGCTGTGGGGCTACTGCCCTTGCCCCCCCAAGTTTTTTGTGGGGGTGAGAGTTTGAGGGGTGCACCTTGTAATGGGTTTGTGGGGTGGGGTCCCCCCCAAGGGTTCCTAGTGGGGAGCCAAATTGGTGGGAATTTCTCCCCATAAACCCCACTTATAATTGAATGGAGGGGTTTCCTCCAATTGGGAAAACTGTGCAGTTTTAAATTGTACCTCTCAATGCTGGTTTTCTTTGGGGGGGAGATAATAATGCCCCCTCTTTCAAGGCTGGCATGGGAGAGGGTTCGCTCTGCTTCACCCCACTTCCCTGAAGAATTGGGATAAGGTAGATCATGTACTTACGATTTGAGAGCCTTTTGGAGGGGTGAAAATGCCCCTTCTCCATAAAGTTGGGGGTGTTTTATGAAAGGGGGGGGGAAAATAAAAAATCAACTGTTCTGGTTTTTGTTTTAAACACCAACAAGCCAATTTTAGACGGTGATTTACTACCATCCCCCCAATAATTTGATCAGTTTTTGGTCCCCTCCGCAAAACTCTTCATTGTGTGTTTTGGTGTGGGGGTTAAGCATTTGAATGGGGGGGGGGTTCCATCCCTCCATTTCATAACAAATGATACTTTCCACTGCTGTGTATTTTAAGAGAGTTCTGCCACCTTCTTTTAAAAAATGCAAGAAAAAGGAACGGGCAGGGTAATAGGGTATTTCTGTAAAAGGCTTTGAGGCATTCCTCCCGCCCCCCCAAATTAAACCACCAAGTGGAATATAAATTCCATGAAATAAAATAAATTTCACTTTTGTAGTGCTTAAATAGTGTTGGGACTAGGCCCTAGGAGGGACCCGGGGTTCAAATTCAGCCACGAAGCTGACTTGGGCCACAGTCGCTCAATCTCAAGCCTGACCTACCTTATAGGGTTGTTGTAAAGATGATCTTGTGTTTGCTTCCAACTTCACAATTCTATGAAATGGGGAGGAGAACTTATGTATGCCGCCTTGAGTTCCTTGAAGGAAAAAAGGCAATAAATAAATAGCGTCCATGGAATTGTGTATTTGTAGAAGGGGAAGAGGGCTAGGAGCCCCTGCCTCAGTTTCCTCTCTCTCTCTCTTTCTCTGCTGTTCTGTTTTCATTTATAAATTTCACAAAATTTATAAACCCTGTGATGGTAATGGGAAAAAACGCTCAAAAAATAAAACAATGCAATTTTCAGTAAAAATGGCAAAAAGCATCTATTTATGACATTTTTCTGAGACTTCTTCCAAGACTCAAGGCAGCTTACAATAAATGAAAACAAGGTGGATAAAAGTACAGAAAACGGGGGAACATTTAAAAGTCGATGGTGAAATAAGTAATTAAGTGATTAAATAAGTTTTGATGGATGTAATAATGGAATACAGAATGGTTTATGTAAAATATGACGTGCAAAATGAACCATGGAAAGAGAAGAAAGAAAGTCACTGATATTTTAAGGACGTTTAAACGAGTATTCTAAATTGTAAAACAGAAAATTTAATGAAAATTGTATTATTTTTTTAAAAAAGTAATGAAATGCCAATAGAATCGAAACGGTGTAATTGAAAACAAATGTATTAAAATGCAGATAATAATCAGTGATTAACTCAAAAGTGTTCAGGGCACACGTCAATTATGCCGTGGTGGCCTAGTGGTTAGAGTGTAGGACTAGGAGCTGGGAAAGACCAGGGTTCAAATCCCGCCGTGGCCATCATGAAGCTCACTGGGTGACCTCGGGGGCCGCCTCTCGGCCAAAGCCTACCTCGAAGGCTTGTTGTTGGGTTTAAAGGGCGGGGGAGAGAACCAGGAACTAATTGGAGGAAAAGGGGGGACGTAGATGAATAAGTGAAATGAATTCTGCAGTGATGCCTCTTTCCTCTCTCCCCCCCCCTCCCATTGATCCGTTTCCCCCCTTTTGCAGGCGGGACGATCCGGGGAGATCGAAGGCGGGCGACCAGGATGCCCAGGCGGAAAGCGACGGCGGCTTCTTCAGCCACCTGGGACGGTGCCGGCAACGGGACCGGAGGCACGCGCAAGCGGTCCACCCTGCCTCGTGGGGCGCCCCCTCCGGGGAAGAAGAAGGCCCGGGACGGAGGGGGCAGCGGCAGCAGCAACGGGGGTGGCGGCAGCAGCGGGGACGAGCAGGACGGGCTGGCGCTGCCGCCTCCCCCCGTGGCGGCAGGAGGGGGCAAGAAGCCAAGCCGGGCAGGAGGAGGACGGGGCGCTGGGGAGCAGCCCCCCCAAAACCAGGAGTCTCCGCAGGCTGCCGTGGTGGTCAGTGAGCCGGAACACAGCAAGGAACGCATTGTAAGATATTCCCAAAATTGCTGTTTTTTGCGGGGTGTTCATGCTGATCGCTGGGGGTCTAAGTGGCTCTAGAGGGTGGCTCTGCTTTGGGAGGGAAAGAGGGTCTCTTATCTGGGGAGGTGCCGTGATGGGGGACCTAACTGTTTGGGCGGTTTCCTTGTGTTAGGGGGGAAGGATTAGGAGTTGGGGACCCTCTGATTTGGGGGGTGAGGGGTAAAATACAGTGGTACCTTGGGTTACATACGTTTCAGGTTACAGACATTTCAGGTTACAGACTCCGCTAACCCAGAAATAATACCTTGGGTTAAGAACTTTGCTTCAGGATGAGAACAGAAATCGTGCTTCGGCAGCGTGGCAGCAGCAGGAGGTCCCATTAGCTAAAGTGGTGCTTCAGGTTAAGAACAGTTTCAGGTTAAGAACGGACCTCCAGAATGAATTACGTTCTTAACCCGAGGTACCACTGTATTTAGAGGTAGGCAGAGCATTGATATTTTCAAGGGGAGGGGGTTATACCTTGTTTTAGGGAGGAGAGATTAGGAGTTGGCGACCCCCTGTTTAAGGGGAAAGGGTGGATTACGTAGAGATGGGAATATTGGCAGAGGGGGTCTCATTCACTGAGAAGGAAGGAGTGTATTGTGAGTGAGGGGTCTGAGTCTACTTGGAAAGCTGTTTGGGGTGGGGTGGGGGGAAGAAGACAGGGACTCCCCTTTTGGGGGCTGGAAATTATAGGGCAGCGTTCCCTAACACGGAATGTTGTTGCATTCCAAACCCCATTAGTCTCAGACATCAAGGCCATTGGTCAGGTGCTTGGACCCCAGATGTATGGAGGGCAACAGGTTGAAGGCAGATATGGGGCTGCCTCCAATCTTTTGGGGATGGGGGGCGGAAATCGTGGGAGCCTCCCCTATCCTGTTACCATCTCCCTCTTCCTTTGCAGTGGTTGCAGACAAGGGAAGTGGGGTGCTGGTAGATACTTGTGCAGAAATGACAGGCAAAGGCTGTAGCTAGCTCAGGGATAAGAAGATTGTAAGCCAGTGTCAGCCCTACTCCGAGTAGACCCATTGAAATTCATTGACGTGGCTTACTTGGGTTCAGGCAACTGGGACTGCCCCCTTGCCTGAGACTTTGGGTCTGAAAAAGCCCCGTTCCATTTAAATTGGCCCTAAATTGAGAACAATGAGGACCAGAATCTTGCTTGATTTTTTTAGGGGAAGGGCTGTGGTGTAGTGCGTTGCAAGCTGAAAACCCCAGATACGGTTCCTGCTATCACCCAGGTATGGGTGGAAAGGCTCCCTGGCTGAAATGCTGCGGAGCGGCTGCTGCTGCGAGTCCGTGTCGACAGTACTGAGCTAGGCAGCAGCTCCGCAGCATTTCAGTCAGGGAGGACCAGTCCTCTGAATCAGTATAAAGCAGGTTCCTAAATTCCTGTGTCTTTGTGGGAAGAGGCATAGCTCAGCGTGAGAGCCCCTGCTTTGCATGCAGAAGGGCGCAGGTCCAATCCCCAACAGCACCTCCAGGTACGAAAAGACACCCTTTTCCTAAAACCCTCAAGAACCACTGCCAGCCAGTGTTGACAACACTGGGCCAGGTGGACAGATGGTTCGAATCGATACAAGCCTCCTTTCTGTATGGCAATGATCTTGAGTTTCTCAATTTCATCCCCTTGCAGTTTCCATCAGATACAGACTCTGTTCACATTGGAGCAGCAAACTAGCAAGCTTCCTCCTGCCACCCCCAGCCCCCCCCCAAAACACACAGCGTACTTGGAGAACTTGGGGGGTGGCGCTAGTTGGCATCTGTTGCTGTTTGCAAACCCCAAAGACGTGGCATGCAGCGATTCAAGATGTTGGGACTGGCATGCCTGTGTTATAAAGCCACTTTTGGGGGGAGGTTCCCTCCCCCCTTGGCTCTGGGAATCCAAGTGAGGGCACTGATGCTGATGCTTGCCCTCCGCCCGCTAGGAGGGGCTGGAGGCTTCCCTGTCCGACCGTGTGGGGGCCCACCCACCCCCTATCTCTGGGTAAGGGAAGTCCTTCTGCAGAGCAGAGAAGCCCAGCCCCTCCGGACAGCAGGGCCTGTCTGCTAACTCCCACATTCCCCCCCCCCCGCCCTCCTCCTCTGCCTTTTGTCTGCCTCCAGGCCTGCCAAGGCAAGACCGCAGTGGAGGGAGGAGGGAGAATTGGGAGGGGGGAAACAAAAACCAGCGGGCTGTTTCTTGCTTGTTAAAACGGCCGGGCTAATTTTTTTTTTTAAAAAAAAGTTGCCGCTTTTTGGCTGCTGTTAGTACCAAACTTACTTCCTCATTGCCAGCTGCTGGAAACCCCTGGAAGAGCAGAGCGTTGCTCTTGGGGTTGGAGCCTGTTTGCAGATTTCCCATTATGGGCACCTATGAGGACTAAGGTGATTGACCAGCCTGATTTATCTCCTGCAGGACTCTTACGATGTTCTTCTGCAGTGTGACGCAGGATGCCTCTGATTGCCAATTGCTGGCAACTGCCGATGGGCAGAGTTTGGGGTCTTCCTTGAGGGTTTCCTTTTGAGTGGCCCCAAAGGACAGGATGCTAGACTAAGAGGGCCCCCCTCTGGCCTGATCCAGTCATAGGAACCTTGTTGCTTCTGTTTAGTGTGGACACCCCCTCGGTGTTTACACACAGCTCGATTGTTGGAGGTAGCGATGACCACCAACTGATGGCTTTGCAAGCGGATTGGGCACATTCGCAAAGGGCAATGAGACAATTCAAAGTGTTGGTGTTGACCTTTAAAGCCCTAAACGGCCTTGGCCCAGTATACCTGAAGGAGCGTCTCCACCCCAACGTTATGCCCGGACGCTGAGGTCCAGCGTTGAGGGCCTTCTGGTGGTTCCCTCATTGCGAGAAGCAAAGCTACAGGGAACCAGGCAGAGGGCCTTCTCGGTAGTGGCACCTGCCCTGTGGAACGCCCTCCCACCAGATGTCAAAGAGATAAACAACTACCTGGCATTTAGAAGACATCTGAAGGCAGCCCTGTTTAGGGAAGTTTTTAATGTGTGACATTTTAATGTATTTTTAATCTTTGTTGGATGATGCCCAGAGTGGCTGGAGAAACCCAGCCAGATGGGCGGGGTACAAATAATAAATTATTATTATTATTATTATTATTATTATTATTATTATTATTATTCTAACTACAATGGCTATGCTCTGCCCTCTGCAGTCAAAGGCAGCAATGTATCTCAATAATAGTTGCTGAAAACCACAGAACAGGGAGGGCTCTTGTGCTTGGGTCCCAGTAGCGGGTTCCCAAGGGGCACCTGAGGATGCCAGACTACAGGAGCCATTGGCCTGATCCAGCTGGCAGCTCTTCCATTCTTCCGCTGTCAGAGGCAGTTATGCTTCTGAATTGCAAGTAGGGTTGCTCTTATGCTCAGATCCTGCTTGAGAGCATCTCATAACGGGCGTCAGGGCATCCGACTGGGAGAACAGGACGCTACACCGAGATTAAAGGTCAAGCGGTGGCGCTGTGGTCTAAACCATGGGTAGACAAACTAAGGCCCGGGGGCCGGATCCGGCCCAATTGCCTTCTAAATCTGGCCCGCGGATGGTCCAGGAATTGGTGTGTTTTTACATGAGTAGAATGTGTGCTTTTATTTAAAATGCATCTCTGCATCGCTTCTCGGCCTTTTGGCTAAGATCAAGTGTAGTGTAAAATGCATCTCTGGGTTATTTGTAGGGCATAGGAATTCGTTCATTTCCCTCCCCCAATATAGTCTGGCCCCCCACAAGGTCTGAGGGACAGTGGACTGGCCCCCTGCTGAAAACATTCGCTGACCCCTGATCTAAACCACTGAGCCTCTTGGGCTTGCCGGCCAGAAGGTCAGCGGTTCGAATCCCTGCGACGGGGTGAGCTCCCGTTGCTCTGTCCCAGCTCCTGCCAACCTTGCGGTTCAAAAGCACACCAGTGCAAGTAGATAAATAGGTACTGCTCTGGCGGGGAGGTAAACGGCGTTTCCGTGCGTTCTGGTTTCCGTCACGGTGTCCCGTTGCACCAGGAGCGGATTGGTCATGCTGACCACATGACCCGGAAAGCTGCCTGTGGACAAACACCGGCCTGAAAGCGAGATGGGTGCTGCACCCCTTAGTCGCCTTTGACTGGACTTAACCGTTTAGGGGTCCTTTACCTATACACCAAGATTGGCCATTGGCCAGATCCAATGGGGCCCTTCTTACATTCTTAAAACTTTTTTTTTTAAAGTAAATCCCCGGTTTGCAGGAAGAGCATACAAAATTGTTCACACCCAGTCTGTGTTTCCATAGTCAAGGTTTGGGTCCTGACTTGGTTGAGAGAGAGAGCGTTTTATGTTGGTGTTGCATCTAGTCCAGCCTCCTGTTATCACCGTGGCCAACCAGATGTCTGTGGGAAACCTACAAGCAAAAGATGAGTACAAGGACCCTCTCTCCACCCCCACCCCCTTTGTGGTCTCCAGAAACTCTAATTCAGAAGCGTTGCCGCCTGCAACTGTGAGGCAGAGCATAACCACGGTTAGCTAATAGCCATCAATAGCCCCTTTCTCAGGGAACTTGCCCGGTCTTCTTTTAAAGACATCTGGTTTGGTGGCCGTTGCTGCCTCCTGCAGCAGTGAGTTCCATAGTTGTGCTGCATGAAGAAGTACTTTCTGTTATCCGTCCTGAACCTAGGGTGTTTTGCAGTGTGTCTGCTCAAAAGGAAGTCCTGTTGACTTCAGTCTGGGACCTTTGAATCTAACTGTGGAGGGGAGAGCAGAGCATCACTGGGGAAACCCAGCCAGGTGGGCAGGGTATAAATAATAAAATTATTATTATTATACTGACAGAATGGCACCCACACCCTGCCCTCGCAACCCAGACACAGCACCTGAAGTCAGCATCGTTTCCTGTCACTCTTTCCTGTTTCTCTTTGTAGTGCTTTCTTTTTTTCTCTCTCTCTTTGCCGTGATCTGAATTGCTTCCATGCACACATTGGTCATAATGCCGTTTGTTGTTGCAAAATTAAGTCTGGGGTGGAGGGGATCAGGTGGGCTGGTGGCATTGGAACAGGGCTGGATTTAGGTTTGACGAGGCCCTAAGCTATTGAAGGTCATGGGGCCCTTTTATATGTGCAGCTGTCCTGTGTCAACAACAAATTGTTGCTCTTTTTTGTGTTGAATATATGCTATTATCAGCGGTCACCAACGTCCGGCCCAGGGGCTGGATAAGGCCTGAGACCCTCGTTTATCTGGCCTACGGCAACCCCTGTTGCCGCCGCCCGCTCTTACCAGTGCCGCGGGGGGTCGGAGGAGCACCGGAAATAGCTTGTGCACATGTGCAGGGGCCTCCTACGCATGTGCAGATGCTATTTCCAGTGCGCCTCCGACCCGGAAGTGTTCTGGAAATAGCATGTGCGCATGCGTACGGGTGCACGCTTCCTCGCCCTCTGTGCGGTCGTCACTGGAGACACCGGGCCAAGGCGAGAAAAGCTTGCTGACCCCTGTGCTATATGGTAATTGATGGACCTAATAGGTATCTCAAGGCATTTGCACATGTAGCCATGCAACCAGTCCATGCAGAATGTAGGCACCCTATACAGTGGTACCTCGGATTACATACGCTACGGGTTACATACGCTTCAGGTTACACACTCCGCTAACCTAGAAATAGTGCTTCAGGTTAAGAACTTTGCTTCAGGATAAGAACAGAAATCAGGCTCCAGCGGCGCGGTCGCAGCAGGAGGCCCCATTAGCTAAAGTGGTCTTCAGGTTAAGAACAGTTTCAGGTTAAGTACGAACCTCGGGAATGAATTAAGTACTTAACCTGAGGTACCACTGTATATAGAAATGAGCAAACCAATGATATTTTAGGGAGCAGGCTAGCAGGCTAGCCCATTACTTACATCATAGGGGCCTACACAAAACAGACACTGTTGCTGTATGTAGGTTTTATTTTATTTGTTTTTTATCTTATATTTTGGAAATGTACATCCAGTGTTTTTTTTCCTTTAAATTTTTTGGGGGCCCCCAAGAGAGAGGGGCCCTAAGTTTTAGCTTATACAGTGGACCCTCCGGATATGAACTTAATTCGTCCTGGGGGTCCGTACTTACCCTTGGCGGATTTCAAATGCTGGATCTGATTCTTTCTCTTTTTCTCTCTCACCTTCTCTACCCCTCATAGAAGCTTGAAGGATCCAAGTTCAAAGGGCAGCTTCTGATATTTGGAGCCACCAACTGGGACTTGATTGGCCGTAAGGAAGTGCCTAAGCAGCAAGGTAGGTAGAATGCTACTTTTCCAGATTACAGTGGTGCCTCGCAAGACGAACGCCTTGCAAAACGAAAAACTCGCAAGACGAAAGAGTTTTCCGTTTTTGAGTCGTTCCGCAAGACGAATTTCCCTATGGGCTTGCTTCACAAGAAGAAAGCCCATAGGGAAATCTCCGGGGACCTCTTTTAAATACTGGCGGTGGGGAGCAAAGCCTTTCGCCCCCCTCCGGCCTTCAGAAGAGGTCCAGGAAGGCCGGCGGGGGCCGAAAGGCTTTGCTCCCCACCGCCAGCATTTTAAAAGCGGTCCGGGATAGCAGGGAATTGCGCTGCGCTTTCCCGCTATCCCAGACCGCTTTTAAAATGCTGGCCGGCGGGGGGCAAAAGTCTTTGCTCCCCCCCGCCTGCCTTCCTGGGACAGCGGAGACTTCTCCGCTGTCCCAGGGCGATCTTAAAATGCTGGTGGGCGGCAGCGAAGCCTTTGCTGCCGACCCCCAGCATTTTAAAAGCCCCCGGGACAGCGGAGGCTTCGCTGCCGCCTGCCAGCATTTTAAGATCGCCCCGGGACAGCGGAGGAGTCTCCGCTGTCCCGGGGGCTTTTAAAATGCTGGCGGTCGGCAGCAAAGCCCTCCTGTCCCCGGAGCTTGCGGGGCGGGAGGTGGGGAGAAGGGCTTTTCTTCCCACCGCCAGCCTTCAGAACAGCCTTCTGAAGGCAGGCGGTGGGAAGAAAAGCCCTTGCCCCCCCCAAGCCTTCAGAAGAGGTCGGGGGACAGACTGTCCCCGGACCTGGTCTGAAGGCGGTTTCCATAGGAACACATTGATTGATTTTCAATGCATTCCTATGGGGAACCATGCTTCGCAAGACGAAAAACTCGCAAGAAGAAAAAACTTGCGGAACGAATTAATTTCGTCTTGCGAGGCACCACTGTACAGTGGAACCTCTACTCATGTACAGAATCCGTTCCGGGGGTCCGTTCGTGAGTCGATCTGGGTCGCTGGGAGAAGCGGCGTTCTGTGCATGTGCAGTGGCAGAAGCCACTTCTGCGCACGCGCAATTGCGGCAAACCTGGTATTTACTTCCGGATTTGCTGCAGTCGCGAGTTGGATTGTTTGCAAGTAGGGGTGGTGGTGAGTCGAGGTTCTACTGTATTTTTAAGGTGGAAAGTTGGGCCTGTGCAATGTTGCTCAAGTTTGTTTTGTTTTGTTTTTTGAAAATAATTTTTATTTGGTTTTACAAGTGTAGCGTTATAACAATACCAATAAATACCAACATTTAGAGCTTTCTCTGAATCTCTAGACTTCCCTCTATCCCCTCCTATTGTCAACGTTTTCACCTGCACATTATTTCATAGTCAATACAGTGGTACCTCCGGTTATTAACTTACTTCGTTCCAGAGGTCCGTTCTTAAGCCGAAACCATTCTTAACATGAGGCGCGCTTTTGCTAATGGCCCCTGCCGCTAGCATCCAGGGGCAAAGTTTGCAACCAGGAGCATCTACTTCCGGGTTAGCGGGGCTCATAACCCAAAGCGTTCGTAAGGAGGGCAGTACGTAACACGAGGTTCCACTGTATTTTAAATCTGTCCATACTGTCCATAATACTTATTACATTTCAAGTGTTATTAGAATTCTGCTGATGTTTTCATCTGCTTTCTGTGGTCTCCTAAATAAACAAGTTTGTTTTAAGCATGCCTTCTCCATTCCACGGAATTGGGGTACAAATCACACCAGCACCTTAGGCCTGCATTCAGCATCGTCGTGGGCCTAAGGCTGTTCAAGCGCACACTTCAGAAGGCCAAGGGTGCCCCTGAGCATGTACAGATCTCAGCTTGTCACACTGCCCATTAACCACGACCCGCTCCGCACAATCTAGGGCAGCCTTCTGAAAACTGGCGCCCTCCGGGTGATTTGGGAACTGTAGTTTCCTCTTCACAGAGCTGTCATTCCGAGCACCTTCAACATGCTGCAGTTCCCAGGAAGTCGCATGTGCATCGGATAGGCTTTAAATGTGGAGTGTGGGTCTGCCCTATGACTCCATCATTAGCTGAGATCCCTGCAAGGGGTTGGACCACATGACCCTTAGGATCTCTTCCAAGTCTGCGATTCTATCCCTGACTACTGGCTATAGCCCCCCGGGGCTGGTAGGAATTGTAGTTTTGTCTGCAGAGCCCCAGACTGGACAAGGCTGATCTAAACACGTTTTATAAGCATTGTTGTCGCAACATGTATTTTCAGGGCTAGGCTGCTCCTGAAATTATTTTCTCGTGGAGCCTCTGTTGCTGAATGGTTGTGTTTTAGCGGGTGGAGTTTCTCTGCCCTATTATTTATCTCTTTTTTATGGTGCTGTATTTCTTTCCATTTCTGTTACCATCAGCTGCTCTTCCATCAAGGCTCTTAGGCCTCATGACAATAGGAAAAACTGATTTTTGATTTGGGTTGGGTTTTCTTCTTCTTTTCAGATGAAAAATATTTAATCATCCAGCACGTTTATAACTTGACTATTGCTTGGTCCTTCTTGGCTAAGGGGGGTTGTGTGAGCACCAGAAAGATAAAGAATGTGAAAAAAGGGTACCAAATATATTTATATATAAAATCTGTAACTCCTGTGCTCAGAGACCTGTACTGAAGGCCTCTACTGATGTCTAAAACACTGAGCCTCTTGGGCTTGCCGATCGGAAGGTCAGCGGTTCAAATCCCCGTGACGGGATGAGCTCCCGTTGCTCTGTCCCTGCTTCTGCCAACCTAGCAGTTTGAAAGGACGGCAGTGCAAGTAGATAAATAGGTACCACTGCGGCAGGAAGGTAAACGGTGTTTCTGTGTGCTCTGGCATTCGTCACGGTGTGCCATTGTGCCAGAAGCAGTTTAGTCCTGCTCGCCGCATGACCCGGAAAGCTGTCTGTGGACATACACCGGCTCCCTCAGCCTGAAAGCGAGATGAGTGCCGCACCCCATAGTTGCCTTAGACTGGACTTAACCATCCAGTGGTCCTTTAACTTTTACCTTTTTACTATAGGTCTGTTCCAGCTGAAGGCCTCTACTGATGTTGCTAGGTTTAAAGGTAAAGGGACCCCTGACCATCAGGTCCAGTCACGGACGACTCTGGGGTTGCTGCGCTCATCTTGCTTTATTGGCCGAGGGAGCTGACATACAGCTTCCGGGTCATGTGGCCAGCATGACTAAGCCACTTCTGGCGAACCAGAGCAGCGCACGAAGCCATGCTAAAGAGATGGTACTCTCTCATATCCAGGGGTAATCTACCTGCAAATTCTGGTCCCTGGGATTCTGAAGCGGGGAGATCATTGCTGTTGCTCTCAGGTCCCACTTGCAAGCTTCCCATAATAAGCATCTAGATTTGCAACTGTTAGAACAGGATGCTGTCCAATGGGGGATCTGCTCACTGGCTCATTAAGGCTCGCATTTTAAGCTGCTGGTATGTATCAAAATTCAGATTGAGTGGCGGGGGGGCGGGGGCGGGCAGCGTTGCCACCCTGCAGATTTTCCTTATCTCTGGAGCTGACATCTGCCTCCCAGCTCAGACTGTGGTCTCTTTGTTTGGCGTCTGGCTTAAAAGACATCTGAGCTCAGGCTGTGATCTCCAGGAAGACAAAAGGCTGTGAGGCAGGGGGGCAGAGAAAGAGAGAAAAAGAAAGAAAAAGAAAGGCAGGCAGAAGGGAGAGGGGTTGCAAAATGTAGACAGGGCAATGGAGCGCATGTTGCGATTGCCGAAGGGCTCGAGGGTCTACTCCTGGCAATTTCCTGTTAGACAAAGAAGTGTGGGAAACAGAGGTCAGACAGACAGACCTGGGAAGGATGCTATCAGCTGCAGCAAATGATGCTGGACCTATGAATCATTTGGCCCGGTCTGGTGGGAGGCAACGCTTTCAACCTCTGACTTGGACGGCAGGTGTAAATGCATGGCATTTGGGTGCCAGCGGAGAAGATTATGGATTTGCAGCTGGAGGGTGTTTTTAGCTATGGTATAAATGGAGCAGCCAGCCCTGTAAGGAATGGTTGCAACATTTGGGACTTTTTAGTTGAGTGCAAAAGGGGGGCAGGATCAGCTAGACCTGTCTTTTATTTTTTGTCTGTGTGTAGATTTGTTGAGTTTCTTTTTTTAAAGTTTTTCAGTTAATCTAGAGAGTCAGTGTGATGCAGTGGTTGGAGTGTCAATACTAGGACCAATACAGTTGTACCTCAGGTTACATATGCTTCAGATTACATACGCTTCAGGTTACAGACTCCACTAACCCAGAAATAGTACCTTGGGTTAAGAACTTTACTTCAGGATGAGAACAGAAATCGTGCGGCGGCAGCGGGAGGCCCCATTAGCTAAAGCGGTGCTTCAGGTTAAGAACAGTTTCAGGTTAAGAACGGACCTCCGGAACGAATTAAGTACGTAACCAGAGGTACCACTGTATTGGGAAAGGCCAGGGTTAAAATCTCCTTACCCTGCTAAAAAGTAAACTGGGTGAAATTTGGGGCCAGTCAGTGCCTCTCAGCCTAACCTACTTCACGGGGTGGTTGTGTGGATTCAGTGAGGAGGAGGAGAACCTTGAGTTCCCCTTGGAGAAGAAAAATGTGGGATATTAATGCAATGGATTTAAATTTGTATTATTTATTTATTTCACAAAATGTACATGCTGCCTGGTTGTGAATAACAAAAAATAATAATTAAAGTTTGCAAAATGAACAAAACGATGATTGGGGGAGAAAAAAAGCCCAGTTAAAAAGAACTGTTTAAAACAGGGGTTAGCAAACTTTTTTTGCAGGGGGCCGGTCCATTTTCCCTCAGACCTTGTGGGGGGGCCGGACTATATTTTGAAGAAAAAAATGAACGAATTCCTATGGCCCACAAATAACCCAGAGATGCATTTTAAATAAAAGGACACATTCTACTCATGTAAAAACACCAGGCAGGCCCCACAAATAACCCAGAGATGCATTTTAAATAAAAGCACATGTTCTACTCATGTAAAAACACGCTGATTCCTGGACCGTCCGCGGGCCGGATTGAGAAGGTGATTGGGCCAGATCCGGCCCCCGGGCCTTAGTTTGCCCACCCATGATCTTGCTCAATTAAAACCAGGGAGCTCAGAATTGCACGCTTCGCTTGCCCTGCCCTTTTGTCTACCCTTGGTTTAAAACATTCAGGGGAAATAGTTAAAATAAGCAATATTTTCTAGCAATAAGCTAGAAATCCAGATTAAAATGCATGTCAGCATTCTACGTGTCTGCATACGGGCATGCTCGAAACAAAAATGTTCTTTACTGGGTGCCGGAAACAACATCGAAGGTGCTCTTCTGATATCGATAGGCAGGGAGTTCCAAAGTGCCACACGAAAAGATGGATTCCTTCCAAATGTGGAATGGGTGTCTTGTAGTAAGGTTCAAGCTTACTGCGAAATGATATATAATGAAATGAAAAGGGTGTTTAAAATAACCCCACAAGCTTTTCTTTTGGGAATTATAGGGACAGAACTACCTAAACTGTACAGAAACTTATTCATGTATGAAACTACAGTGGCAAGAATGTTACTTGCCCCAAAATGGAACGAAGCAGAAGTCCCAGCAAAGGAAGAATGGATACAAAAATTTATGGAATATGGCCAGGGGTCAGCAAACTTTTTCAGTGGGGGTTGGACTATGTTTGGGTTAAAAAACGAACGAGTTTCTATGCCCCACAAATAACCCAGAGGTGCATTTTAAATAAACGCACACATTCTACTCATGTAAAAAGACGCTGATTCCCGGACCGTTCGCGGGCTGGATTCCAGGTTTTAGTTTGCCTACCCATGGAATATGCAGAAATGGCAAAACTTACCAGAAGAAGAAGAAATCAAGATAACAAACTGTTTATAAAAGAAATAATGAATACCCACAGATAAATTGTAAATAGATAAGAACATTGGTAGGGACGCGGGTGGCGCTGTGGGTTAAACCACAGAGCCTAGGACTTGCCGATCAGAAGGTTGGCGGGGGGAGCTCCCGTTGCTCGGTCCCTGCTCCTGCCAACCTAGCAGTTCGAAAGCACGTCAAAGTGCAAGTAGATAAATAGGTACCGCTCCAGCGGGAAGGTAAACAGTGTTTCCGTGCGCTGCTCTGGTTCGCCAGAAGCGGCTTAGTCATGCTGGCCACATGACCCAGAAGATGTACGCCGGCTCCCTCGGCCAGTAAAGCGAGATGAGCGCTGCAACCCCAGAGTTGTCAGCGACTGGACCTAATGGTCAGGGGTCCCTTTACCTTTACTTAAGAACATTGGTAGGATTATTGTAATAACCTGCAGTTTTATAAGAGTAAATATTTACAGTAGATGAATAAATGAGCTAACTAAGTTAATTTGGATATGCAGACGATACTAATTTTTTTTTTAAGGAACTGCAGAAAGAGGGGGAAGGAAGTCAAGTTTTGAAAAGTTAAAATGATTGTAAAATCAGTGATTTGACCAAACTGCGGGAGGCAGTGGAGGACAGAAGTGCCTGGCGTGCTCTGGTCCATGGGGTCACGAAGAGTCGGACACGACTAAACAACAACAAAATCAGTGAAATGTATAAACTTGAAAAGCATAAATAAAATTTCAAAAGACAAATGTTGAATGGGTGTTAGGTGGCATTTGTAGCCAGTTCCATTTCCACAGATCAAAGGGGTCAAGTGGGCATTTATGGGGCAAGGCGATCTCATAGCTTAACTGGTCTCCAAGTAATTAAGGTTTTTATATCCCAAGACTTGTGCAGGTCTCTGAGCCAGAAGTGGTACAGTATATCCCTGCAAAATCCCTTGCGTTTTTCGTAATTGATATGGTCGGTTTTGCTGCCTTCGTTTTTAGCTTTGTGTCATTTTTCCGATTAAGGTGACAGCATCATAATAGCAGATAAGAACTGTTTGTTATTATTATTAGTCATTATGGTGGGTTGCCTGGTGGAAGATTTTTGCCGTTGGAAATCTGCCTTTTGCACGGAGAGGAGGGGGAACGTCAGGGATGCCTGGTCTCGAGAGGACTGCCTCGGCCCACCACCTGTGTTTTTTAATTATTATTATTTTTAAGCCATTGCCGCCTTCCCTTGCAGCCGCCTACAGGAACCTGGGCCAGAATTTGTGGGGCCCCCACAGGTACGGCTCCCTCTCGGGGGTCCAAGTTCGGACGGTGGTCTCTGGGCCATGCGCCGCTCACAGCCTGCTCATCACCACCGAGGGAAAACTTTGGAGCTGGGGTGAGTGTCTTGAATCTCCCGCACTGTTTGCATTTGGTAGTTTGCACCAGGGTGGATTTGATTTAAATCAAATCGACTTACCGTATTTTTTGCTCTATAAGACTCACTTTTTCCCTCCTAAAAAGGAAGGGGAAATGTGGGTGTGTCTTATGGAGCGAATGCAGGCTGCACAGCTATCACAGAAGCCAGAACAGCAAGAGGGATTGCTGTTTTCACTGCGCAGCGATCCCTCTTGCTGTTCTGGCTTCTGAGATTCAGAATATTTTTTTTCTTGGTTTCCTCCTCCAAAAACTAGGTGCGTCTTGTGGTCTGGTGCGTCTTATAGAGCGAAAAATACGATAAATCATGATTTAAATCACTAGTCAGTAAGGCTTGATTTAAATCATTTTTTTAACAGAAAGACTGATTCTTGCTGGTATCATCTTCATATTTACAACCAGTTGAAGGTTTCGTTTTTGGAATAATAAATTGTCAGAGTAGTTTTTACAGTTATATCAAGAATTACTGATTTGGTTATACTATTAGAAATAACATAGACCGATATTTATGAAATGATTGTGAGGTTTAATAAGTTAGCTGTTTGTTTGGACAACTTTTATGCTGTACTTCATTGGAAGGAGAAAAATAGTCATTTCCTTAATAACAGTTTAAACAATTTATTTAACTAAAACAATAACATTATAGCATATGTTTGTTAACTGATGTGGTTAAATGATTTTTTTAAGAACAAAAACTTTGAGTTTTAGCACACATTAAAAACTTAAAACAAATCCTTATTTCCTGATGAATAGCCTTTGGACTATAATGTAACTTAAATAGAAAACTATCTTTAGAAGGGTTTTTTCTCCTAAAGCATTTTATTTAAAAAATCCGATTTAAATTTTAAAAATCGGATTTTTAAAAAAAATTACCATTTTTTAAAAAAATCACTGATTTTTATCCACCCTGGTTTGCACTAGGCTCAGTGCTGCAGTGGTTTGAAAAATGCACGTTCGTAAGTCTCCCGAGTCTTCTGCATTCATATATGTCTTTTGGAGCTAAAACTGGTTGGAGAAAACCCTGCTTGTTGCAAGGGAAGGTTGCTCAGTGGTTAGAGTGGCTGCTTGGCATGCTGAAGGACTCGGGTGCAGACCCCAGCAGCATCACCAGGTAGCGTTGGGAAAGACCTCCCCTCCGCCCAATCTGAACTCCTGGAGGGATACTGCTGCCGGTCAGTGTAGACAACACTAACCCTAGATGAGGCTTTATTCTTTGCAGGCAGAAAGTGCCATGTGATTGCACCTTCTGGGGAAGGAAAGACAAAAACAGTAAAGAAAACAAGTAAACACCATACAATAATACCTCCCTGGCTTATGGAAAGAGAAGGGATGTATACATAAATAATATTAAGAGTAATACATTTTTGTACGGATGTTACTGTGTTCATGTATTGCATATTTTTGTGAAATCAATAAAAACGTTTTGGGAAACAAACCCCCCAAAGAACCCAGTGGCATCTCCAGGGCTAGAATCTTCCTTTATTTTTTGTGGGATCCAGCAGCTCTGCGACACAGTGTCTGCTTTGCGTGCTGAGAGTTCAAGGTTCAAATCCCAGCATCTCCAGGCAAAAGTGGGAAAGAGCCCCGTCCGAAATCCTGGAGAGCTGCTGCCAGTCAGTGTGGGCAGCGCTGAGCTAGATGGAGGGCAAAGTTCCGATTTTGAGAGAACACAAAATTCACTGCTTGCTGGGCTCCCGATTCTGCAATGGCTACTGCTGCTTTTTAAAAGCAAGTTTCACACCTGTAATCTGGGCTTCGCAGTCATTGTGTATGTGTGTGTGCCTAACTCTCTAGGGCGTAACGACAAAGGGCAGCTGGGCCACGGGGACACCAAGCGCGTGGACGCCCCAAAGGCCATCGAAGTGCTCTGCAGCGAAACCGTCGTCTCGGCAGCCTGCGGCCGCAACCACACGCTAGCCCTGACAGGTAGGAGAGGCTCTGTCCAATCTGTGTGTCCGTGCGTACTTTTACCTTCCACCGTGCCCTGCTATTGGCTGAGCTGCTCTGATGTCACGGAATACTCACCAGGCATGCTCACTCAGAGGGAAAGCAGCTAGGAGGAGAACGTTACGGTGGGGAAACAGCTGTTCTGACGAGAGGCACAGAGTTGGGTTCGGGAGAGGGAAGTATTGGACGGGGCCTAGGAATCAGAGGTGCCGTCGGCAGGTGTGGAATCCATAGCTCAGTGGCAGAATACCTGCTTGGCATGCAGAAGGTCTATGGTTCAATCCCCAGGGGTGTCTCCTGGTAGGGCTCTTGCCTGAATCCCTGGGGAGCTGCTGCCAGTCAGTGTAGGAGGCACTGAGCGCAATGCACCCAATGTTCTGAATTGGTGTAAGGCAGTTTCCTATCTTCATGTGCCTGCTTTATTCAGAACGATGAGGACTGGAAACTTGCTGTGTTTTCAAGTAAAGGACCATGGTTCACAATGGGGGGGGGGAGAGCATGTGCTTTGCATCCAGAACGTTCCAGGTTCAATCCAGGCAGCAGAGCTGGGAAACTCACCTGTCTGATGATCCCAAGAGAGTCACAGCTGCCAGTCAGGGTCGCCAATCCTGAGGTCGGCTGACCCATAGTCTGACATAGGCAGTTTTCCTTTGCTGCTGTTTTGAAAGGGCCACACAGTCAAAAGCAGTGGGTGTTTAAGGAGATAACAGAAATCACTGGGTTAAAGCTGACAGAAAGTCCAGAGCGTAGCATTATTACCAATTTACGATGGGGTGGGAGGTTCGCAGGCTGTGAAGGATTTGCTCACAAATTTATTGACAGCTGCACAAATTATGATAGCTAGGAAATGGAAGGGGCAAGCAGAATGGAAGAATGGTATAAAGAGGTGTGGGATATAGCTATTAAGGATGAATTAACATGTGCCATTAAGGTAAAACGGGGAATATGCAGGAGAAATGATTTTGAGATGTGGAAAGTGTTTGTAGAATTTGTACTTTTAAAACGGAAAGGGGTCAAACCATTGCAAGAGGTGTTGAAATTTTGGGAGGTTGGATAGTTACAGTGGAATGGTCTCGGGGGTGAGGTCCACATTTCTATTCTTATTTATTTATGATTTTTACTTTGTCAAAATAAAATAAATAAAGCAAGCAGTGGGGCGAGGGAGGGCTTTGGCTGTGGGTCTCTGTAGCATGGTGTGAAAGCGGAAAGTTGTTTGTCCAACCTTTCTGTTTCAGAGAGCGGTTCTGTATTTGCCTTTGGAGAGAACAAGATGGGTCAGTTGGGCCTGGGCAATCAGACTGACGCCGTTCCCAGCCCCACACAGGTAGGCAGAGGGACTGCATCCTTATTGTTTATTATTATTTATTGAATTTATATACCACCCTATAAAAAAGGTAAAGGGACCCCTGACCATTAGGTCCAGTCATGGCCGACTCTGGGGTTGCGGCACTCATCTCGCTTTATTGGCTGAGGGAGCCGGCGTACAACTTCCGGGTCTTGTGGCCAGCATGACTAAGCTGCTTCTGGCAAACCAGAGAAGCTCACGGAAACGCCGTTTATCTTCCCTATTTATCTACTTGCACTTTGACATGCTTTCGAACTGCTAGGTTGGCAGGAGCAGGGAGCTCACCCCGCCGCGGGATTCAAACTGCCGACCTTCTGATCAGCAAGTCGTAGGCTCTGTGGTTTAACCTACAGCGCCACCCGCGTCCCTTATACCGCCCTATACCCAGGTGGATTTCTTACAAATGTGGAATTATTGCTGTGGCACCTTTAATAGTACCAGTTCCACCAATCAGAGCAACCGACGTACAGTGTGCGGACCTAATGAATTGCAAGACAGTCATACCTGTAAGCTAGGAATGTGACCCTTTGGAGAGGTTTTTTGAGGGTCTGCATGTCTTTCAGCCTTTTCTAACCCCCCCCTTTTTTTTATAGATCATGTACAACGGGCAGCCGATTACAAAGGTGGCGTGTGGGGCCGAGTTCAGCATGGCAATGGACTGCAAAGGGAACTTGTATTCTTTTGGATGCCCCGAATATGGACAGCTGGGTACACCGTTAATTTCCTCCGCATTTTGGTGGCGTAAGGGGGGGGGGACCGGGAGAGGGGAGCCTTCCCCTTCCTTGTTGTGTCCGTTCCATTGGTTCCCTTAGTCTCTCTCTCTCTCTCTCTCTCCCCCCCCCCCCAAAATAGGGCACAATTCTGATGGAAAGTTCATCGCCCGAGCCCAGAGGATAGAGTATGACTGCGAGCTGGTTCCCCGCCGTGTCGCCATCTTCATCGAGAAGACGAAAGATGGCCAGATCCTGCCGGTGCCAAATGTTGTGGTGAGGGACGTTGCTTGCGGGGCAAATCATACGGTAAGACTTGGTAATCCTCTGCTGCCTATATTGATCGTTGCGGTCAATGAGAGTTGTCGTCCTAAGCACTTGGGAGTCCGGAAAACTGCATTGGGTGCAGACAGGGTGGATTCGATTTTAAATCAAATTGATTTAAATCACGATTTAAGTCACTAGTCAGTAAGACTTGATTCAAATCATTTTTTTACAGACTCATTCTTGCTGGTATCATCTTAATATTTACAATCAGAGGGAAGTTTCATTTTGGGAATAATAAATTTTCAGAGTACAGTGCTGTCAAAATAACAATCCTTTATACAACAGCTGCAGTATTAAGGACTTCCATTTGTATTGACACATTAAATGATTTATAAACTTAAAGGTGAAGCATTCAAACTACCGTATTTTTCGCTCTATAGGACGCACTTTTTCCCCTCCAAAAAGTAAGGGGAAATGTGTGTGCGTCCTATGGAGCGAATGCAGGCTCCTTGGCTTCAGCGATAGCAACGCAAAGCCTCCGAAGCGCAGAGGGAGCTCTCCCTCCGTGCTCCTGAGGCTTTGGGTTGCCTTCACTGAAGCCTGGAGAGCGAGAGGGGTCAGTGCACACCAACCCCTCTCGCTCTCCAGGCTTCCAAGGTAGCCGCCTGAAGCCTCCAGAGCGCAGCGGAACCTCCTGCTCCGGAGGCTTCGGGTTGCCTTCACTGAAGGCGACTGAAGGCACCTTGAACGCACCTTGTTTTAGAGGGGGAGAACAAGGGAAAAAAAATTCTCCCCCTCTCTGCCGCAGCGCCCCTTCAGCGAAGCGGCAGGAGAAATGGAAGGGGCTCCTTTTCTCCTGCCGCTTCGCTGAAGGGGCGCTGAGCAGAGAAGGGGAGAATTTTTTTCCCCTTGTTCTCCCCCTCTAAAACAAGGTGCGTCCTATGGTCGGGTGCGTCCTATAGAGCGAAAAATACGGCATATCTTTATTCTTCCTGTGTGTGGCAATTATTCTGTCCGTGATGTTCCTTCCTGTCCTTGAAAAATATTATATCTATCTTTTCCCGGTTGTTGCTGTTCTCCGTCATGCCTTGGGCGGAGTTGATATCCTGTTGTCGTTTCAGAAATATCTCCATTGCTCCATTCCGTGCTCCATTCATTGTTTTGCAACTTCAACAGCAGCTGCAAAAATCACACTGTCCGGATAAATACCCTGTTTTGCCATTTTTCTCCCGGCCTGGGAAAGAAGGCTGATCTGTCGAGCTTCAAATAACTCAGTAATGAACCTTACCAACTTCCTTGGCAAGCTCGCAGGTTCCTTTAAATTCCTCACCCACTTTCTTCCTCCAGCTCGTCTTGGACTCTCAGAAACGCGTCTTCTCCTGGGGTTTTGGGGGCTATGGCCGCCTGGGCCACGCCGAGCAGAGGGACGAGATGGTGCCCCGACTAGTGAAGCTTTTCGACTTCCCCGGCCGTGGGGCGGCGCAGATCTACGCAGGCTACACCTGCTCCTTCGCCATTAGCGAAACAGGTAAGCTGCAGGCCTTGCCAGATTTCAGACTGCAAAGCCCATCTGCAGATGCCTCTTTCCTGGGAGGGCATTGCACAACTAGGGGGCCACCACCGAGAAGGCCCCGTCATTAGATGTATGCACACTATTTGCAGAAAAAGGAAAATATTATTGCACAGCTTTTGCTGGAGGTGTGTGTTGGTTTAAGACTGCCAGGGAGACCCAACTATGTAGTAGTAGTAGTAGTAGTAGTAGTAGTAGTAATGGTAGTAATAATAATAATAATAATAAATTTAATTAATAATTTACTGTTTATAAACAGAGTTTCCCCAGCCACTCTGGGAGGCTTCCAATCGAGTGTTAAAACCAATACAGCATTAAATATTAAAACTTCCCTAAACAGGGCTGCCTTCAGATGTCTTTTAAAGTTAAGATAGCTGCTTATTTCCTTCACATCTGAAGGGAGGGCATTCCACAGGGCGGCCACCACTACTGAGAAGGCCCTCTTTCTGGTTCCCTGTAACCTCGCAATAAGGGAACCGCCAGAAGGCCCTCGGCGCTGGATCTCAGTGTCTGGGCTGAACGATGGGGGTGGAGACGCTCCTTCAGGTATACTGGACCGAGGCCGTTTAGGGCTTTAAAGGTCAGCACCAACACTTTGAATTGTGCTCAGAAACCAATGCAGATCTCTCAGGACTGGTGTTAATGTGGTCCCGGCGGCCACTCCCAGTCACCAGTCTAGCTGCCGCATTCTGGATTAATTGCAGTTTCCTGGTCACCTTCAAAGGTAGCCCCACGAAGAGCGCATTGCAGTAGTCCAATGTGCCATGTATATTAACTGTAAGGCTCAATAACCCCCTCTTGTTCCCCTTTCTACAGGAGGCCTGTTTTTCTGGGGAGCCACAAACACCTCCCGGGAGTCCACAATGTACCCCAAAACTGTGCAGGATCTATGCGGCTGGAAAATCCGCAGTCTGGCTTGTGGGTAAGAAGTTGTGATTTTATACGAGAGAGAGAGAAAAGGTGCCTTTTAAAAACAACAACAACAAGCTGTCTCACCCAGAGTCAACCTTGATTTCCCCCACCCCACCCCAGACGCCAGGGTTTTCTAACAGGACTGACCATCTGTGTTCACCATGCAACGAAATTCTCTTCAGGGCTAGAAACTTGAGAAGTTTCACTTTGACCGCAATAGCTTAAGTGCCCTCAAGCCCTCGCCTTTTCTCCATTTATAAATTCACTCCCTCTCTTCTTCCATTGATATGCGCAAAGGGGCATAGAGGTGCCTTTCTAATGGCCTCTAATGGAAGCTATTACAAAGAGCCATCTCCTTTTGCATAATGATATATTATTATTATTTTGAGCTGATGGCTGAATCTGTTTGGGGTTCAGTCACCTCCTCTCTTTTTGCTAATTGTCACTTTCAAGAGAGTGGTTTTCTCTTGTGATAGGCCTTGGGGGAGCCTCTAAAATCTGCTTCTGTTATTTTTGGTCTCAAGATCCCCCTGCTAATGGGCTTAACCTCCTGCAGACGGTGGTGCGCTTGGAAAATGAAGGCATCTCAGCCATTTAGCAACGGGAAAAGAAGATTATCGGGAAACGAGAGGCTTCCTTCTAAGCAAGCAAGCACTGAGGGGCAGTTTGTAAGGGGGCAGATGTCCATCCAGAAAAAAGTTGTTTCCATCTGCTTTAAAGGGATCTATATCGTGCCTCTTTTCCTGCTAAATTGCAACCAAGGTGGTTTTATATAAAATGGTGTGCCGCTGTGGGATAGCGGTCAGGCCCAAACTTCTACTCAAATCCCATGGAATCATGCTTTCGCAGCCTAATCTGCATTGCAGGGTTGTTGTGATGGGTAAAATTGGGTGTGGCATGGCAGTGGTCAAACAAAAAGCAGGCCAGATGGAAATCAGATGGTTAGAGCATCTTTGTGACATGAAGAATGGGTTCAGTCCCCAGCGTCTCCCAGAAAGGTTTCCTGTTTGAAACTCTGGGAACACATAATTCTTATTATTCAAAAAGTGAATTCCTATTCACGTGGAGGAAGTTTAAAAGGCCGTTAACTTGGGTCTAAACAAGCTTCCAAAAGAACATGGCAGCCATGAAAGAGAAAAATAAAAGAACGAAAAGGGCAGTTGAAGTACCGAGGGAGAAATCACCTAAGAAATTGTTTAATAATAATATATGAAGTGATATGAAAAAATAGCAAATAAAAAAATCAAAGCATATAATAGAGAACTGAATTAATAAATATAAAATAATTTTAATGGAAGCTTTTTCTGTAATAACTTTGATCGTTTTAATTGCTATGCAATAAAATAAAGGTCTCCTGCCAACCTAGCAGTTCGAAAGCACATTAAAGTGCAAGTAGATAAATAGGTACCGCTCCGGCGGGAAGGTAAACGGCGTTTCCGTGTGCTGCTCTGGTTTGCCAGAAGCGGCTTAGTCATGCTGGCCACATGACCCGGAAGCTGTACGCCGGTTCCCTCGGCCAATAAAGTGAGATGAGCTCCGCAACCCCAGAGTCGGTCACGACTGGAACTAATGGTCAGGGGTCCCTTTATACCCTTTATTTAAAATAAAGGTACCTAACAAATTCAAAATACATTCTGATTTTAATTTTTAAAATGTGTATGTCGCAATATACAGGGTGGTTCATAATGAAGTATACAGTTTGCATTTATACTTTATACTTCATTATGAATCGCCATATACAGTCATACCTCATGTTGCATCCGCTTCAGGTTACGTGTTTTCATGTTGCGTCCCGCGGCAACCCGGAAGTACCGGGATGGGTTACTTCCAGGTTTCGCCGCATGCACAGAAGCACTAAATCGCGCCTCGCGCAGACGCGGCACTTCGGCTTGCGTCAGTTCCACCTGGCCTTTGGTTTGGACTCGGTCTGACCCTATATATATATAGGAGGCCTCTAGAGCCATAAGAAATATATATATATAGGAGGCCCCTAGAGCCGTAAGAAATGCGAAAAAAATCACTGTTGATAACTCATTCTTGAATTGCCCCGCTTAAAAATCAGATTGCACCCCCTGTGGGACATGTGCCCCACATTGGGAACCACGGGTATCGACAGTACTGAGCTGGATGATGCAGGACAAGGCAGCTTCCTATGCCTCTAGGAATATAACCATTGTTATTTGTAGCCACCTTCCCTTCAAGGGAATATTATTATTATTATTATTATTATTATTATTATTAATACATTTTATTTATGCCCCACCCTCCCCAGCCAGAGGGACCAGGGCGGCTAACACCAGTAAAATTACAAAACATAATTAGGGGGGGGTAAACCAATTTAAAATACAGGTTAAAATGCAATTTAAAATGAAGCCTCCTTTTAAAAATAGCCGATAAATTAAGACCATAAGGGGAGGGAAACATAAGGGTCAGACCGAGTCCAAACCAAAGGCCAGGTGGAACAGCTCTGTCTTGCAGGCCCTGCGGAAAGACTTCAAGTCCCGCAGGGCCCTAGTCTCTTGTGACAGAGCGTTCCACCAAGTCGGGGCCAGTACTGAAAAGGCCCTGGCCTAGTTGAGACCAATCTAACCACCTAGTGACCTGGGACCTCCAAAGTGTTGTCATTTGTGGACCTTAAGGTCCTCTGCAGGGCATATCAGGAGAGGTGATCCCGTAGGTACGTGGGTCCTAGGCCGCAAGCCTCTGTCCATTTCTGGGGAGAGTGTTGCCATCACGCCCTGCTTGTGGGCTTCCCCCAGTGGGCACTTGGTTGGCTGCTGCAAGAACGGGATGTTGGGCTAGAAAACACCACTTGCCTGATCCAATCTGACTGAGCTCTTGACTATGTGCTTCTCCCCACAAACCTTTTGTATCCTCACAAGAACCCTGCGAGTCAGGCTAGGCCTCGGGTCACCCACTGAGCTTTGCAGATGAACCTGTGTGTCGTTGTCCCCCACACCCCTCATCTGACACTATTCCACCTGTGGGCAGGGGGTGGTGGACCTCTTTGGCCCTCCAGATCATCCCTGACCATTGGACACATTTGCTCGGGCCGATGGGAGTTGTGGTTCGGCGGTGTCCAGGGAGCCAAAGTTTTCCGTCCCCCTGCCTGTATTCAATATACAGTGGAACCTCGGTTTTTGAACGTCATCCGTTTCAGAAGACTTCTGAAATGTTTGAAAACAGGATCAATGGGCAGTCGGCAAAAGGATGGGGGGAAAAGCACGCCTTGGAAGCTGTTCAACTTCCAAGGCGGGTTTGAAAACGGAAGCAATTACTTCCGGGTTTTCAGCCAAATTGTTTGGCTTCCGAGGTGCTCTAAAACCAAGGTTCCACTTCTACCAGTGTTCAGTGTACCCACAGTTAAATCCCACTGCAAGCTTTCGCACAGTGCTTTAAAAGGTCCAGATCCAGGTTTGTACGACAGTCCTTTTTGTTGTGGGATGAAGATATTCCGTCTAACTGGGAGCCACTGCAGATAAGGCAGTGCTGCTTCTTGGTAACCGCTTCTTCCACCTTCCGGAGGCAGAGGAGCCTGTTGCGAGGTGTGGGCCCCTGGGTCTACCCAAGCTGGCAAGCACATCCAGGTTGAGAAGGGGGCCCCGCTTCAGCATTTGTGGGGTGGGGGCTCCGGGGCTCTCCAAAACAGTAACCTCCTTTGTGTACCTGTTTTCAGGAAGAGCAGTATAATAGTGGCTGCAGATGAGAGCACAATCAGTTGGGGCCCGTCTCCGACCTTTGGAGAACTGGTAAGGAGGGCAGACGCAGCTGCTGCGAAAGGCCCACATCTGGGGGAGGGAAGAAGGAAGGAAGGCTTTTCCATTGCCGCTTGGTTTGGCCAGGTGAGGACTTTCCTCTCGATCCCATCGACTCCAGAGGAGGTGACAACGAGAGCTTGGGCTTGAGCAATCGATTCCTCTTTCCCAGGGAACTCTGGGAATTGCAGCTCTGGGAGGGGAAGAGCGGGGTCTGCCAACAATACCTTTAACAAACTACAGCTCCCATGATGCTTTGGGAGGAAAGCCATGGCTGTTCAAAGTGAATTGTAATACTTTCGCTGTATGCTGTGAAAGGCTCTCTCAACACGAGAGATAGAGGCCCCAAGCTGGAAAATGGTGCAATTTACAGCTTTTTAGCAACCGATTAAGCATCGTGCATGTAAAAACATGGCTTACACTCATCCAGCTACCAATTTCTCACACATACAAGTTATTATGATTTATTACATTCTTAGCTCTCCCTTCTTCCAAGGGAGCTCTCAAACGTGTGAATACAAATGTCATAAAAAACAGTTTGAAAATTCCCAAATCGCCTGCTTTCAAAGCTGACCCTTTCAGGGGCAAGTCTTTGGGCCATCAAATACCTAGATTAATGTTGCGTCAAGCCGGCAGCACAGTGTGGCCTTCGGTTAATTATCCTCCTAGTGGCGCAGAAATAAAGCTGCTAGCACATTTGCAAAGCTAAGCAGGGTCCGGCATGGTTTCAGATTGGATGAGGAACCACATGCTGAGGTTCCTTCATTGCAGGGGGTGCGGGTTGGACTAGATGATGGCCCACAGGGTCCCTTGCAGATCTACAATTCTGCTTTACTATATTCCCTTGCAAAAGTTGGCCTGCGCCTCTTGCCAATGATGCAAAAGCCATTTTTGGAAAGCCCTGCTAAGGGGGTCTGCTGTGCACACCGAAGTTCCAAGGTTCAATCTCCAGCATTTTCCTGGCAGATAAGGCGTATCAGTGGCTACTAGCCACAGGGGCTATGCTCTGCCTCTGAACCCCAGTTGTTGGAGGCCGCAGGAGGGGGAGTGTCGCTCTTGCACTGAAATTCTGCTTGCAAGTTTCCCACAGGCATCTGAGATCTGCTGGACTAGATGGGCCTGATCCAGCACTCGTCTTACGTCCTTGTCTCCAGGTAGAGCAGGAAATGTTCTCTGCCTGAAATGAAGGAGGCAGCCGCTGCCAGTCATTGCAGGCATTATTGAGCTAGATGGACCAAAGGTCTGCTCCCAATGTTTGTGTTTAAATCAGCTCTTAATTTATGGGGACTAGAAGCTTCAAGTGGGCTGTGGCTCAGTGGTAGAGCATCTGCTTTGCATGCAGAAGTAATAATAATTTATTATTTATACCCTGCCCATCTGGCTGGGTTTCCCCAGCCACTCTGGGCAGCTCCCAACAGAATATTAAAAACATGATAAAACATCAAACATTAAAAACTTCCCTAAACAGGGCTGACTTCAGGTGTCTTCTATAAGTCAGATAGTTGTTTATTTCCTTGACATCTGACGGGAGGGTGCCACTACCGAGAAGGCCCTCTGCCTGGTTCCCTGTAACCTCGCTTCTTGCAGCGAGGGAACCGCCAGAAGGCCCTCGGAACTGGACCTCAGTGTCCGGGCTGAGCAATGGGGGGTGGAGACGCTCCTTCAGGTATGCAGGGCCAAGGCCATTTAGGGCTTTCAAGGTCAGCACCAACACTTTGAATTGTGCTCAGAAGCTTCCAGGTTCAGTCTCCCGAGAAGGGCTGGGAATGTCCCCTTTCTGAAAAGAGTTTTTGCCTGTGAATGTAGGCAAGACTGAACTAATTGGACCAGTGGGTCCAACTCTGCAAGGCGGCTGCCTGGTGCCTCCCAGAGACTTTCAAGGCAAACAGGTTTCTCAGGAGCGAGGTGATTGATCTGTGCTATGGAGGGAAAAGGCTTGAGGTCTGGCCTCCTGACATTCTGTGCGTTAATGGTCAGAGCGGAGAACTGCCTTGGCTCTTTAATCTGGAGAGGGTCTGAGTCCCGTTTCTGTCTTCTCAGGGCTACGGGGACCACAAGCCGAAGTCCTCAACTGCAGCTCAGGAGGTGAAGACTTTGGATGGCATCTACACAGAACAGGTAAGAAAGAGCAGGTAGCAGCGGCCAGAAACCACCTTGAAGCACCTCATGCTTCCAAACCTCCTTCTGAAAGTTTCTTGGGTCCCCAAAGGGGGGGGGGGGAGTGTGTGTCCTGGCCTTGCAACCAACCCCCCTGCCCCAATCTACCGTATTGACCTGAATATAAGCCACACTTTTTCCCAAATTCCATTTGTTAAAAGTTAAAGTGTGACTTATATTTGAGGGCTGCCAGGGGTGTGGGACAATGGCGCCCGTCCCAACCACGTAAGTGGCGCAGCCCCTCCCCCGAAGCAGCGTGGGACAATGGCACAAAGCCCACCAGCTGCTTCCCAGCCTGCCCCGGTGCTGGCTTGGGGAGGTAGTCTTGAATTTTAAAGCTGCAGCTTATTTGCAGGCACAGCTTATATTTGGGCCAATGCAGTAATCCTCTTTTCAAGTTGGTGGCTGTCGTTGCATCTTGTGGGAGGGAGGGTTGCCGATGGCCACCGACATGGGTCGCATTAAAAGAGGGTTGGACCAATTCATGGAGCAAAGTAAGGCCACGTTCTACCGCCCGCTATTCCTCTGAATATCAGTTGCCAGAAGCCACAGGAGGGAAAAGTTGCTTCTTTTGCACTCGGGTCCTCCTTTTGGGTTTCCCTTTGGGGGGGTGGGAACACCTGGATGGTTGCTGAGAACAGGATGCTGGGCTGGATGGGCCTGATCCAGCTGCAGGGCTCATGTTAAGTTTCCTATTATTCCTAAATGGAGCCTCCATGGACAGTGGCAGTGAACCTTAGAATGGCGAAAAACAAGAGCGTAAGAAGGCTGTTGCTTTCACATCCTATTGGGGCATCTGGTTGGCCACTGTGAGAACAGAGGGCTGCACTCGGTGGACCTGATCCAGCTGTAAGGCTCTTTTCTTAAGCAGGTCTACTTGTCAGTGGCGATCATGAAATAGATGGACCCTTCATATGCAGTCTACCTCCAGATGCCACTGACTGAGAACCACAAGTGGGAAAGGCGTGGGTGCTGTTTCTCTCTGAGGGCCCTGCTTGCGGGCTTGGCTTTGTGCGGCCTCTGGCTGGCCGCTCTTGAGAACAGGAGGAGGCCGGACTGGATACCCCAACTTTGGATCTTCCTAACACCCCTGCGCTGTCCTTTTTCGCTTTGCTCAGGTGGCGATGGGCTATGCCCACTCCCTGGCGATTGCCCGCGACGAGAGCGAGGCCGAGAATGAGAAGCTGAAGAAGCTGCCAGAGTACAACCCGCGCACTCTCTGACCCACGCGGGGGCCTCTTCCTCCTCCTCCCCGCCGCCCCACACCCACCGACAAGGCAGTCGCTGCTCCCGTCGTATGCAATGGGGACATGGGATCCGTACGCGATGGGGAGATTGCAGGCACTGGCACTCGTCTCCTTAGACTACCCAAGATTTCGTATTTGATAAGCATTTTGAAGCTTCCAGCTACCTGTTAACTTTGACTTCCCTGCCCACCCTGCCCTTTCCCCTAAGACAGGTTGCTTTGTATTTTGGTTTCTTTGGTGGGGGGGCATGGAGGTGGGACATTACATCAAGAAAGATCTTCTTTTGAAATTTGATGAAAATGGCAGGACTGTTTGTCCAAATTTGCCCTTTTTTTCTGTTTTCCTTTCCCATAGCCGATATTTTGTTAAGCGGCAGACCAGTAACCAGCATTTTGAGAAGGGTGAAGGCTAACCCTTCTTTTTCCCCCCTACAGCTGGAAACTATTTCCTCCTTTGTGGAAGGGACCATCTTTCTTGTATATATATTTTTTGTTCCCAAGAAACCTCGAGGTCTCTGTAAGAAGGCTGTCCTTAAAGTATCTCAGATTTTTTTTTAAAAAGGGTGCCTGCTGCACTACAGATTTCCTCAAGCTCGAGGCTTCTGCAAAAGGTTTTTTTCTTTCTTAATTACGTAGATTTTTCTGTTGATGAGGTGCCTCCCGTACTGCAGATATCCAGAAGCTCCCCACCTGCTAAAACGGGGGAGTGGGGAACCCTCTGATGGTGTTGCGGAACTGCAACTCCCATCAGCCCAAGCCAGCATGGCCAGTGGCCAGAAGCGATGGGAATTGTAGTCAAGAATTCGAAAAGGCACCTCAGCTGACTGCTCCTGTTTGGGGAGTGTTATAAATACCAGGCCAGTCCACCACATGGGGGCGCTGTCAGATTCAGCAGCCTCCTAGCGAATGGTTGAATTCATTTGCAGAGCCCCAGGAATATTGGGGGGGGGGAGAGAAGCAGGACGATCGACCCTTGGTTTGAATTGGGGGGGGCACTCCCTTTTGTTTTGTTGATAGAGAATTTAAATTCCTGATTCAGCTACTTGGATGGAAGGAATCTCCTTCCTTCTCCCACTCCACTATTTCCACTCTTAACCAAATTCCACATGAGCCTCATGGATCCTTCTGGCAAGGGAGAGGGAGTTTATCCCCCCCCCTCCAAAAAAAATCAGGGCCACGCTTGCAGCTGGTGCAAGTTGCAAGGGTGTCCCTCATGTACATTGCAAATACCCATAGGCTTCCCCCCCTCATTTAAAATGGCTACAGTTCCAGGTTTTAGGCGCCTTGGGTGGGGTGGGCGCCTTTTCACAGTTATGCAAAGGTGCTTTGGGACGACTTAAAAGAACCGCTCAGCCTCCTCAATGAAATATTAGTTGGCCCCCGGATTCCTGTTGCAAGTCTATTAGTTCCTTCTCCCTTCTGCGCCCGTGTGTTGTGTTGGAGAAATTTTGGTGCCTTTGAAACAGAACTTGCCTCCTCTCTGTCCCAGCATGAACTCCCTTTTTTCCTAGCAGTAGGTCCCCTCTTCTCCCCCCCCTTCCTTCCTTGAATCTGCTAGCTCTGTTTTTTTTTTTGGGGGGGGGTGTCCTCCCAGACGGGCGACGTTAGCCCCATACCACGTTAACATTTGCAGGTTCAGAGTTCTTGAAAAGGTTGGGGGCTTTTCCGGGATGCTGGGTTAGAGGGAGCAACCCTAAAGTTTTTGCTTTGTTTTGTTTTTGGGGGGAGGGTGGGGAAGAAATAGGGGCTGTACATTGCATTATTATTTGTCTTTTTTATTTTAGGGGGAAAAAATTGGATCTAAACCTACACCTGAAGCGTTTGCTTTTGTCTCCATTCCTGTTTGTTTGTCTGTCTAGTCAAGTTACGTACCTCATCCAGAAGAGATTTTCTTTTATGGCCTTTTTCTCCTGCGCAAAAAAGTGGTTCCGTTTCTGGAGCTGCAGGGATGTGTGTGGTACATGAGGACATTTAGAGGAGAAACCTAACTGGAACAGAACTTTGGAGATAACTTATTTGCAATGGCGGCGGGGGGGGGGGAGAGAAAGAGGAAACAGACCCTCCCTCTGCAGCAATGAGTGACATTATTCTGTTTTTTTTTAAATAAAAAAAACAGGCTTTTTGTTTCCGGACCTAGACAGTTCAACTGTTCTAGTGTCTTCCCCTCTTCTCCCCACTCTCTCTTCATTGTGGAGGAAGGGCTCAGAAATAAATAATTTTGGGTTTAAATCTGGTGGGATAAGTTCCTAGCCTAGTCATGTAACTCCTCTTGGGGGTTTTTTATATATATTTCTCAAAATAAATGTTTAAATAAATGACAACATTGTGTAGAGCCTTATGCACGTAACAGCACTGTGGGAGGGAGTTCCGCAGTGTAACTTGCTGCATAATTCAGCTTTACTAGCTGCCTAAGTGTTCTAGCGTTACAAGAGAGAGAACTTTTCCCTACCCACTTTCTCTGTGCCATGTACCTTTTGTCATGTCACTTTGGTCTAGAGCAGCGGTTCTCAACCTGTGGGTCCCCAGATGTTGTTGGACTACAACTCCCATCATCTCTGAGCTCTGGCCTTGCTAGCTAGGGGTGATGGGAGTTGTAGTTCAACATCTGGGGACCCACAGGCTGAGAAAGGCTGGTCTAGAGCAGTGTTCCCCAACCTTGGGCCTCCAGCTGTTTTTGGACTACAATTCCCATCATCCTTGACCACTGGTCTTGCTAGCGAGGGATGATGGGAGTTGTAGTCCAAAAACAGCTGGAGGCCCAAGGTTGGGGAACACTGGTCTAGAGGATTATGAAAGATCATGTATGAATTAGCCCACCTCTCCCCAGCACCAGCATCCAACAAAAGACTTTGCTCAGCGCTCAACTTTTCTCCACAAGTTTATTCAAACGCTCCTTAAAATGCAAGCGAAAAACATTTGCGCGCCTTGTTTTGCAATAATCAAAAATAGAGGTATAGAATGCATAATCAATTCATTTTTTAAAAAACAAAGAAATGTATGCTTTTCACACTCCTTATTCTGCTAAGGCTTAGAGAGGTGTAGCCTCTTCACAGTGCCACGGGGGCGGGGGGGGGGGAGATCCTTGGCACAGAAATTTTTGGACTGACCCCCTGCCCAGTGCGTCGCCCCTAAACCTGGGTCTTTGAAGGATTGCATGCTGCGTAACTTAGAACTGGCTCTGTGTCTCTGACCTGCCTTACACTAAAAACGGGCACTCAAGCCCCTTTCCGTCCTCCCCAAAAATCCCAGCTTTAAAAGATAACAGGCTAGAGATCTGTGATCTCGTTTGAACGCCTGGCTTGTTCCTGAGCAGCAAACCTGGTCTCTTCATCTGGCTCAGACTGCAGAGTAACATACCGGGGGAATGAAATGCGTGGGTGGACCTGGTAGGAGCGTGAAAAAGAGGGTGAGCAACCAGCTCGGCCCTTGAAGTTAATCAAAAGTCCTGGGCAAGACAGGAACCGTAAGCAGTTCCTTGGAAAGTGACGATTCCGTAGCTAAGCGTAAGCTACACAGCAGCTGCCCTGGCATCTTCCTCGCCTGCAAGGAGGGCAGGTTGTGGATCTCTCCACGCTCAAGGGGTCATGTTCCACCACTTGAAGGAAAAGGCCTTGCGTCGGACGTTGGTGCCACAGTGGACCTCGCCGAGATCCTTGTGGTAGGTTTCGTAGTCGTCTATGAAGGTGCAGGACAACCCCAGTGGCTCCAGCAGACGGCGGACCTCCTCTTCCAAGCAGCACTGCTCATGGATGATGGGTCCAAAGGGCTTTGGGATGCCCAGGTATTTTCCCAGAACAAGCATGTTCACCTGCAAATGAGACATGGGTTGCCTGTGAGAAGGGGACTCTGAAACTGCTATGGGCATTTATAACCCTTTCCTCCAGAGTCTTCCTCGCAATATCCACTCGCTGGAAATTACCATATTTTTCGCTCTATAGGATGCACCAATGATAAGATGCACCTAGTTGTGTTTTTTTTTGGGGGGGGGGACAAAAAAATATTCTGAATCTCAGAATCCAGAACAGCAAGAGAGATCGGGCTTCTGGGATAGCCGCTGAAGCCTCTCTCGGGCAGTGGGATAAAGGCTCCCCCTGCCCGGAAGTGGCTGTGCGCAGGTAAGCTGCCCTCTGTAAAGGTAAAGGTACCCCTGCCCGTACGGGCTAGTCTTGTCCGTCTCTGGGGTTGCGTGCTCATCTTGCTCTAGAGGCCGTGAGCCGGCGCCGTCCGAGGACACTTCCGGGTCACGTGGCCAGCGTGACTGAAGCTGCAGCTGGCGAGCCAGCACACGGAAACGCCGTTTACCTTCTCGCTATAAAGCGGTACCTATTTATCTACTTGCACTTAAGAGTGCTTTTGAACTGCTAGGTGGGCAGGAGCTGGGGCCGAACGACGGGAGCTCACCCCGCCGCGGGGATTTGAACCACCGACCATACGATCGGCAAGTCCTAGGCACTGAGGTTATACCCACAGCGCCACCCGCGTCCCTCTAAGCTGCCCTCTGTACCTTCCCCCATCTCCCGCAAGAACCACGTTCTTTTTAAAGGGAGCACGGTTCTTGGGGGGCTTTTCTGAGACGTGGGGGGACAGAGCCGCGCACTCTGTCCCTCCCCTCCCTTCCCGCAAGAGCCACATCCCAGAAGCCTCCGCAGGGCAGTGGGAAGCCTTCGTCCTGATGCCCTACAGAGGCTTCGCGGGGGCTATCCAAAAGCCAGAATAGCTAGAGAGAGCGCTGGTCTAGCTTTGCGTGAAGCCTCCGCAGGGAACAGGGAGCCTTCATCCCCGTGTCCTGCGGAGGCTTCTGGGACAGCCCAGGGATGAAGGCACCCCGCTGTCCCGCGTAGGCTTTGCACAGCTAAGCCCAAAGCTAGAACAGCAAGACAGAGCACTCCCTCTCCTTGTTCTGGCTTAGCCGTGCAGCCTGCACTCACTCCATAAAATGCGCACACATTTTCCCTTACGTTTAAGAAGGAAAAAAGTGCGTCTTATAGAGCGAAAAATACGGTATGTTGACATAAAAAAAAAAAGTTGGGGTGGGTGGGAGATGCTGTCATTTTAAGAGCAGTTCCAGACAGGAATTGGGGGGGGAGGCCTACCTTGCACAGCATCAGACCCTTGGATTCATCCAGTTCAAAGATTGTCAGCAACATTCGCAACCCTATTTGTAGATGCTGCACCCAGGACCTCCATGACAAACATTCTCTATCATTGCCCTAACTGCTGCATCTTGCCAACCAGGCCACCCCCTTGCCCCATGGAAGTGTCGGGCACTTGAGGCCACTGGCCAAATCTGGCCCCTTAGGGAGAAAACCGCATCTGTGGCCAGGGATCTGTCTGGCATGTGTGGTGGCTCATTACAAAAGGACCTTTTGAGCAGAGCCTTACTATGTCCGGGAAGTAAGCAACAGCTTTGCTGGGGCTGTAAGAAGAGCGAGTGAAGAGCTGGGGGATATCGATGATGTCCTCCTCTTCCAGTTCCAGCTCCTCTTTGAGGAGGTCTCTGTTCCAGTCAATGCATTTCTAGGAAGTGAGAGAAGATATGCCTCAGAGAGAGGAATTCATTGCATCACTACAAGTGAAGGCACAATGCAATTAAAGATTTGACAGGTGTGTCAATAGAGTCATGCTCCTGGTGGAATTTCCTAACACTGCCACAGATTGCATGGTGTGTGTTTGTGGCCTTGCACATAAACGGTAGCTTCTGTTCCATAGCATACCACCAATTTCCCAACAGTGGGATCCTTGGCACTTCAGTCTCTACACCAGTTTTTGTGCCTTCTCAGATTCCCTCTAACTGCCCAGTTTCCTCTACACTGACTAGCAGCAATGACTCCAGGGTTTTCAGATGCCCCACTTAGAGATGCCATGGGGGACTGAACCTTTGAGATCGTACATGCAAGGCAGGTACTCTACCACTGAGCAATGGTCCTCCTCCTTAGCTTGTCTCTTTTGACCAGACACATACTCAGTCCCAAGCATGCAGCCCTTCCTGACTTTCTCAGTTCTACAAGCTCTACAGTTCTACTTCCTCTTCATCTGCCATTCCCTTTATCACTTCATGGGTCTTCATCCCCCACAAAGCCACCCCTGTCTCTAACACCCCATGAACTCATCCCAACTCAAATGACAATTTCCCTTTCCCTTACAGAAGCCCAACTGCAAAGATTCCCTTGCAGCTCGCATGCATCTCTGCATCTGTGCCAGGGAACTTCTCTGCCACAAGCGCAGGGCAGGGAGCCTGTCGCTGCCTCCCTGTGATCTGCAGATTTCTATTCCAGCACAGAGGAAAGGATCTATATTGTGTAGCGGTTAGGGTGTGGCTCAAGGACCCTGGATGCCAGGATTAAAATCTCCACTCTGCCATGAACCTCACTAGGTGAACATCCGTCAGTCAGACTCTCCATCACAATGAATATCATTTAGAAAGTGTCCAGGTTCATAACCAAATGACTATGTGTCATTATCTGGGGGAAAGGGGTGTGACAATTACCTGGCAATACTCATTGATGCTCCTCAAGGATTTGTCAGCCAGGATTGCTGTTATTGAAATTTCTTTGTCGTCTTTGCCTAGCCCTGTAATAAGAATCAGGTGGCTGCTTCATTCATGTTACGACTGTTATGTTCCCCACCACCACCCCTTAAATTACTGGTTCAAAATACATGTCCTCAGCTCCATACTGCACTGTAATATTTAGCTCAGATGAGAGCCAGGTAAATAAGACTTGGGGGGGGGGCATATTTGGTCCCCAGGCTTGAGGTTCCCCACCCCTGATTTTGAGCAAAAAACAACCCCTTGGAGTGAGATGGGGTAGTTCAATTGTGAGGTTTAGCTTCTTGGGGGCCTTAATGCAAAGTAAGCAACTTCCTGCCCTGTCTTCCTGTCGGCTCCTGCAGAGGAGAAAGGAGAGCCACCTTACCATCAAACATCATGGCATCGCCGTACCCCTCTTGCTCCTTCTCCTTCAGAAGCTTGTAGCAGCGACTGGGGCTGGCCAGAAGCAGGCGGAAACCCTGGAGAGGAACAGAGGGAGTGACGTGAGACCGGCTGCAAAATGTACTTGTAGCTCAGGGGTAGCCAACATGGTGCCCTCTGGAACTGCAGCTGCCTACCAGCTCCATCGGTACGCAGGCCGAGACCCTACCTGCCCACAGACTGTCTTGCCAGAGTGGTGACCTGGAAATGACAACTAATCCAGAATGCGGCAGCTAGACTGGTGACTGGGAGCAGCCGCCAAGACCACATAACACTGGTCCTGAAAAACCCACATTGGCTCCCAAATTTTCTAAGCACAGTTCAGTGTTGGTGCTGACCTTTAAAGCCCTAAATGGCCTCAGCCCAGTATACCTGAAGGAGAGTCTCCACCCCATTGTTCAGCCCAGACACTGAGGTCCAGCTCCGAGGGCCTTCTGGCGGTTCCCTCCCTGCGAGAAGTGAGGTTACAAGGAACCAGGCAGAGGGCCTTCTCGGTAGTGGCGCCCGCCTTGTGGAACACCCTCCCATCAGATGTGAAGGAAATAAACAGCTACCTGACATTTAGAAAACATCTGAAAGCAGCCTTGTATGAGGAAGTTTTTAATGTTTGATGTTTTAGCGTGTTTTTAATATTCTGCTGGGAAATGGCCAGAGTGGCTCGGGAGGCCCAGCCAGTTGGGTGGGGTATAAGTAATAAATTATTATCATTATTAACTAAGTTGCCAACAGCTTCTGTTCACTGCCTTTTAGATTGAGTGGGTTTCAAAATATGAGGGAACAAATATCCTCTGAGTAAACAGGTTAAAATGCACTTAAAGGCTCAAAGCAGTGGACAGGGTGTACCTGTCAGGAGCTGGAGTCAGCAATAAAACACCCATTGTCAGGGGCTTTAACTCTTTATTCAAAGAAACCCAAACAGTGGTCACAACAACTCTTGCCAGTAGGATTGAAGTAGCCTTCCCACCACGCCCTAACACTCCCCTGGGTCCTTCCCAAGTAATCTCAGATTCCTTCGCCTAGTTTCTCATTACTCTGCCGTTTTTATTTCTCTTCATGTTCTGGGAGACCAAGGAGGAGAGGAGACAGTCATGGCAGCAGGGGGAGGCTCCCTGGGTTCTTCTGCAGCCAGCCTTATCTCTGTCTCCCAGCCCCTCTCCTCTCCCGCCTCTGCGTCTGGACTGCTCTCCGCCACAGCCTCTTCCTGCTCACTAAACCCTGTTGCCCCTTTGGCTTCCGGCACCACCACCTCTCAGTCCGCTTCATCGTCTCCCTCTGACCACTCATCACCCCACCACCAATCCCCTGGTTCTGAGCCTTCTTCCCTTCTCCAGTTAGTGCCTCGCACCATCCCTCTGCACCCACAGCAGTACCTTCCTGTCAGAGGCTGGGACAAAACACATGAACTCGTCCACATGCCCCACCAGCAGCCAGGCAGAATACAGTTCGATGGGCGATTGTACTTCCTGGGCATAGAGGAAGTCCCGCACGACTTTGACCATCTTGTCCCCGTGAGGCCTAGGAAGTAAAGAGAGGCAGAGTTCACTTAGGGTTGGCATCCATTCCAAAGGCAAGGACTTTGCCACTGCGAAAGTACTACCCAGCCCAATCTCATATCCGCCAGTGCCTGGTCCATCAGGGCACACCAGGTGTTCTCAACAGACTTCTCATCCGCCTGCCTCCTTACAACCAGCCCAGATTTTTAAAAAAGAACATATGATAAAAAGAACCGTTTTATCTTTTTATCATATGTGGTGGTCTTGTAGTAAGGTTGAAGCTTACTGGGGAATGATATACAGTGGTACCTCAGGTTAAAAACTTACCATATTTTTTGCTCTATAAGACTCACTTTTTCCCTCCTAAAAAGTAAGGGGAAATGTGTGTGCGCCTTATGGAGCGAATGCAGGCTGCGCAGCTATCACAGAAGCCAGAACAGCAAGAGGGATTGCTGCTTCCGCTGCACAGCGATCCCTCTTGCTGTTCTGGCTTATGAGATTCAGAATATTTTTTTTTCTTGTTTTCCTCCTCCAAAAACTAGGTGTGTCTTGTGGTCTGGTGCGTCTTATAGAGCGAAAAATACAGTAATTTGTTCCATAGGTCCGTTCTTAACCTGAAACTGCTATTAACCTGAAGCACCACTTTAGCTAATAGGTAGGGCCTCCTGATGCCACCGTGCCGCTGCTGCACGATTTCTGTTCTCATCCTGAAGCAAAGTTATTAACCCGAGGTAATAATTCTGAGTTAGCGGAGTCTGTAACCTGAAGCATACGTAACCCGAGGTACCACTGTATAATGAATTGAAAAGGATGTTTAAAATAACTTCTGTAAAATAGCAAGAATGTTACTCGCCCCAAAATGGAAAGAAGCAGAAGTCCCAGCAAAGGAAGAATGGATACAAAAAGATGCAGAAATGGCATAACTTACCAGACGAATAAGAAATCAAGATAACTTTTTTTATAAAAGAATGGAAATGGTTTAGTGAATATTTACAGATAAACTGTAAGCAGATAAGAATATTGGCGGGGTTATTGTAGTAACCTGCAGTTCCATAAGGGTAGATAATTAGATGAGAAAATTAAATGAATTTGAATACGCAGAAGGTATTTAAAAATAAATGTAAGGAATCACAGAAGGGGGGGAGGAAGTCAAACTTTGAAATGCTAAAACGATTGTAAAATTTATGAAACCTATAAATTTGGAAAGTATAAATAAACTTTTTAAAAGAAAAGCAGCCCATATTGACCAGCCTAGATTGACCAATGATGTGGCTCAGGATAAAGTAACTTTCTGTGTACCTCCTCCTCCCTTCCCACTGTTGCCTGGGCTAGAATGAGTCATGGGTGAAGAAGCAAGCTGAAAGGGAGACGAGGAGGAGGTCCAGAGGGCTTTTGCCTATGCATGCGGGTCCTTATCAGATGCTTCACCATGCCAGCGCTTTCTCTCCCCCCCCCCAAACACACACCCTCTCCACCTACATGGGTAAGGCGCTCCCGATGATGACCCTCCCCAGGGGGTACTCTTTGCCCCTGACGGTCACTGGAGGGCTGACTTCGAGGTTCCCAAATGAGTCCAAAGTGGAGACGCTGTTGCCTTTGCCTTCTGCCTTCCGGGTCACGTAGCCAAAATCCGGGCCCTGGGGTGGGGAGCAAAGGGCAACAGAATTAGGAGTGATCTTGGTGACAAGATCTTTGAAAATGACCTTGTGTCCATTGCATTTGAATTGCAGAAGCTACAGGGTGGAGTGATGCAGAAAGGGTGCTCGTGTGGGCAATTCGAATTGTGTATGGCCGGTTGCAAAATTCAATTGCCAATAGACAGATCCTGCAGAGTGTATGGCACAAAGCGAAAAGATGGCTAATACAGATTAGGTAGGCAGGTAGATGCATGCATGCATTATCATTATCCTAATCATTTTATTCACTGCCTTCTGTGCAATTTTCTCAAGACAATGCACTTGGGAAACAGCAAAAAAGCCAAAGTTTCAAAACAAAACAAAACAAAACAGCAGATAATAATAATAATTTATTATTTATACCCCGCCCATCTGGCTGGGTTTCCCCAGCCACTCTGGGCGGCTTCCAACAAAGTATTAAAATACAGTGGTCTGTTAAATATTAAAAGCATTAAACATTAAAAACATTAAAAGATACATTTGAAACAAGCCTAAAACCCTAATAAGTGGACGCTCGTGGTAAATATGCATTTATCCAGTTGGGAAAGGCTGTTGGAACAAAAATGTCTTCAATGCTTTCTGGAAAGGGCAGGTCCAGTGGGGAGGAAGACTACTCCAGATAAAAGGAGCAGCCACAGTGAAGGTCCTGCTCTAAATCACAGCAGAGTGGGCTTCCGAGATCTTTGGAACTCAGAGGAGAGAATATCCTGCAGACCACAGTAATCTACCAGGTCTCTAACACATTCAATCATTTTTTCTACCACCCTTTAACCAATGATTGTAGGGTGGTTTACAGCATAGAAACACAAAAACGGACTATACGGAGATGGCGGAATTGACAGCAAAATTAAGAGTGCCAAAAGACGACGTGTTTGTCGAAGAGTGGAGATCCCTTTAGGGGCTATCTGGGAAAATATTATAGTCAAATGAAATGGCAGGTGGGACTGGAAATATACCGTAAGTAAAGGAATGAGAATGATAAAGGAATGTAAATTAGTATATATGTTATAGATTAAGTATTACATTTATGGCAGTAGATAAAGGGTTTGAAAAGAAACATCATGGAAGTAAGGATGGGAAGTCAAAACCGTTAAGTTAAGAGAACATTGTATTGAAACTGAATAGAACTTGTTCAAATTGTATGAACAAAGTATGAACAAAATGTTATACTTTAAAAACCCACATAAAGGGAATAATATAATAACAAACCAGTATTGGGGCAGGCAGACGGGGGTGCAACTGTGGAGCTGCCTTATCACTCAAACCCTTCATGCAAATTGCACTATTGCAGCATTAAAAAAAACCAAAACAAATTCAAAGGTTCTAATTTGAAGGCAAAATAAGGCAAAGGCGGGAGGGGTTCCTACCAGAACTGCCTTATAGGGAAAGCCGTCCAGCTCTCTTTTTCTTGGGGAGTCGAAGACCACGGGAAAGGACTTGTGTGGTGCTTGCGTGTAGCCGATCTCCATCTCATCCTGGTGCCATTAAAGAAAACAGGGAAGAAATAAGACATCTGCGCGGGCAGAAGAAAGGAGTGAGGAACCCCAAGACCCTCTGGCCCTTGGAGCCAGTATGGTGTAGTGGTTAAGAGCAGTAGACTTGTAATCTGAGGAACCGGGTTTGCGTCTCCGCTCCTCCACATGCAGCTGCTGGGTGACTTTGGGCTAGTCACACTTCTCTGAAGTCTCTCAGCCTCACTAACCTCAGAGTGTTTGTTGTGGGGGAGGAAGGGAAAGGAGAATGTTAGCCACTTTGAGACTCCTTAAAAAGGTAAAGGGACCCCTGACCTTTAGGTCCAGTCGTGGCCAACTCTGGGGTTGCGGCACTCATCTCGCTTTAATGGCCGAGGGAGCCGGCGTACAGCTTCCGTGTCATGTGGCCAGCATGACTAAGCCGCTTCTGGCGAATCAGAGCAGCGCACAGAAACGCCGTTTACCTTCCCGCCAGAGCAGTACCTATTTATCCACTTGCACTTTGACGTGCTTTTGAACTGCTAGGTTGGCAGGAGCAGGGACTGAGCAACGGGAGCCCACACCGTCACGGGGATTCGAACCGCCGACCTTCTGATCGGCAAGTCCTAGGCTCTGTAGTTTAACCCACAGCGCCACCCGCGTTTGGTATCAAATCCAAACTCTTCTCTTCTTGGAACGCTCCCCAGGCTGCACGCTTCACAACTCTGCCTTGCACCCTCCTTGTCCGTTTTTGCCAGGCTGATAAATGGTAAATACATTGAATAAAATAATTCAATAGTTTGCTCACACTTCCACCTGCCTGCCCGCCCCCCCAACGGACACTCCAACCTACCTGGATCCAGCGGTCACCTCGATTTTCTGCTTCTGGACAGATGATCAATCTGCAGCCAGCTTTCTTGGACAGCTTGCTGATCTCCACCACGAAATCTGCGTTGCCTTTTATACTGCATGTCAAAAGGCGGGAAAATGGGCATCGATGAACAGCAGAGCAGGAGAAGGAAAGGAAGGCTTCAAAAGAAGATTAGCTACAATGGCTATGCCCCGACTCCACTGTCCGAGACTTCTGAATTTCAGTTGCTGGAAATCCCAGGTGGGGAGTGTCACTGAAATTCTATTGATCCAGAATAGTTCCCAATGTATAGTTAGAGTAAAAACTTAAACACGTTGCAGGATTCCAAAAAATAGACCAGAGGCAATTTCATTTCATCCAGCAGAGCTTTACTGCTCCGGAAGGCAAATGAGTATAATGGTCACAAATCCAATACATTCAGGATTGGCACCGTCCATAAGACATCCAGTTGCAGCAGGCTTACAGTAACTAATAATAAGTCTAAAACTTAACACTAAACATACCACAGTCGTACCTCAGAAGTCGAATGGAATCCATTCCGGAAGTCCGTTCGACTTCCAAAACATTCGGAAACCAAGGCACGGCTTCCGGTTCGCTGCAGGAAGCTCTTGCAGCCAATCAGAAGCCGTGGAAGCCGCATCGGACGTTCGGCTTCCAAAGAACGTTCACATACCGGAACACTCACTTCCACGTTTGCAGCGTTTGGGAGCCAAAACTTTTGACTTGAAAGTGTTTGGGGATCCAAGATGTTTGGGGATCCAAGGTACGACTAGACAGTGGATGCACGTTTGCAACTCGCAGCATTCGCAACCCGCAGTGGCGGGTCTGCGCATGCGCAGGTTGCAATTCTGTGCATGTGCGACCGCCGAAACCCGGAAGTAACCCCATTCCGGTACTTCTGGGTTTCAGCAGTCCGTAACCCAAAAAACCGCAACCTGAAGCATCTGTAACCCAAGGTATGACTGTATATACAAAACACCGCACCAGAAGGAAAAGAGATAGAAAGAGAAAGTGGAACCTAGGCTCCTTCTGGCCCTATTTTATAGTCAACATGACCTTGACAGAAGAGATAAGAGAACCAGGTTAAGCCAGTTTCTCTCCAGGTATAATCCAGGGGTAGGCAACCCAAGGCCTGGGGGCCGGATGCGGCCCAATCGCCTTCTCAATCTGGCCCACGGACGGTCCAGGAATCAGCATGTTTTTACATGAGAATATGTTCTTTTATTTAAAATGTATTTCTGGGTTATTTGTGGGGTCTGCCTGGTGTTTTTACATGAGTAGAATGTGTGCTTTTATTTAAAATGCATCTCTGGGTTATTTATGGGGCATAGGAATTCGTTCTTTTCCCCCCAAAATATAGTTCGGCCCACCACATGGTCTGAGGGATGGTGGACCGGCCCATGGCTGAAAAAAGGTTGCTGACCCCTGGTATAACCCAAACATCAGGAACATTCTGCTTGTTTCTTTCACACAGAAGCTTCCAGAACCCTCTTGAATTAAGTAGAATAGGAAAGATTTCTACACATCAGATGAATACTTTCTGCACTAAGAAATGCAAACTGACAGGGAGAGCTGCAGGGCTTCTCTGATATTCTCAGGCTAGTGATGCTTCGCTTGAACAACAAAGCCTACCTGAGCTCTGGCATTTCTGGTCTTGGATCTCCAGACCTGAGTTCCAGTCTTCCCTCTGATCCTGATTGGTTTCGACCACTGACACGGCTCTCAGTCCCTGCCTCACCTCAGACCACCATCAGTGTCCCATCCCTGACGTGGCACACCTGATCCATGAGTCCTATGCTTGTGCATCTGTGCACTGGACCACAGTGATGCGCACTTATTTGCTGAAGCTCTCACCTGCAGACGTAAACCGTTATCGGCTGCAAGGTATTGGGGGTCATGATCCACGGAGCGACGCGGAAGACAACAGTGTCGTTAAAAATTGGGGCCTCGGGAAGCGCCTGTAGTGGAGGAGAGCAGAGGCCAGCTGAGAAAGAGGTTGGAAAGAGACTCAAACCAGAACTATTCAGGCACATGACAGTCTCAGGAACCAGCATGCCTAATGGTCAGGGGGAAAGGAGAGCTCCAATCCGGCAGCATCTCAAGGGACAGGGATGTCACAGATTTCCCACCCCAACAGTATAAATGGGAAGAGTTGTGATGGAGGCAGGGAGGGGCAGTGAAGGCAAGTGATGGTCCAGCTTAGCAAAATCTAGAGGACCAAAACTCCTTCGAGAATGAACAGAAGCTATTGCCTCTTATCTTGTACCCAAGAGCAGACGTGGAGAACATTTCTTCCAGCAGGTCAGTCCCAATACCCCACTGCACGGGATCCCACAATCAATCAATCAATAATGGGCCTTCTGGTGGTTCCCTCACTGCGAGAAGTGAAGCTACAGGGAACCAGGCAGAGGGCCTTCTCAGTAGTCGTGCCCACCCTGTGGAACGCCCTCCCATCAGATGTCAAGGAAATAAAAAAACTATCCAACTTTTAAAAGACATCTGAAGGCAGCCCTTAGGGAAGTTTTTAATCTTTGATGTTTTATCACTTTATTTATTAATAATAATAATAATAATAATAATAATAATAATAATAATAATATTCTGTTGGGAGCCGCCCAGAGTGCCTGGGGAAACCCAGCCAGATGGGTGGGGCATAAATAAATCATCATCATCACACCCAATGGAATTTTCTGCCATGAGACGTGGTGAGGGTTGCCAGCTTGGGTTAAATTCCAAGAAGGACAATTGGGAGGATAAAATGCTAGGCCTGAGTGCTTACTAGGACAGCATGCTTCATATCTTGAATTTAGCTGCAGAAATATAACATGAGCCCAAGCCCAAATGGGCAGGCAGCAGTTGCATTCTGCTGTGGCAGCCAAGACACTGGCCCCTGCATTTTGCCAGCTCATGTAGAGCCCCAAGCTGTGTTTTGGCGAAAAAAATGAGTAACCCTGGGCTTAAAAACAAACAAACAAACAAACAAACAAACAAACAAACAAACAAACAAACCCTACAGTCCCGGTTTTCTCCTAAGACAAGAAAAGGAGGCTACGGTGAGGAAGAAAAGACAAAATAATAGGCTTTTTTATTCTCTGGAGAAATTCAGGGAGGAGATAAGACTGTCAACAGATACTAGTCACAATAGCAATGTTCCACCTGCATCAATAGAGGCAGCAATGCTTCTGAATCCCAGCTGCTGAGAATCCCAAGTGGGGACACCACCGTTCAGGTCCTGCTTGCAGGATTCCCATTGGGGATCTGCTTGGTCACTGCGAGGCTAGAAGGCTGGACTGGATGCCTCCCCCACCCCCGGCCTGATTCAGCTGCAGGCCTCTTTTAATGCCCTTAATTATCTAACACCCCAGTAACACCTTGCCTTTCTGACACATTTCCTTTTTTGGCTGCCCATACCTTGGCGGTGGCCTCTAGCAGAGTGGCGTGGAATGTCACGAGTCCAGAGAAGCCAATGTCAGGAAAGGCCAGCCCTTCCACATAGAAATGGTGCTCCTCTTCGTCGCAGGAAGGTTCCACCACATAGGAGGATTTCCCATGACCCAGGACGTGCGTGTGCTGACTGAGTTTCTTTCTTTTCCCTGTAAATCAAACCCAACATTTCTCATACAAAATCATGTGCCCGTCCCTCATTCATTCATTCGTTTGTTTACTTGCTTGCTTGATTCTGGAAGCAAACTCTTCATCGCTGTCAAATAAACTGGTTTTGATTAACTAAACCCCTGGAACTCACTGCCACATGGCTGGGTTAGCTGAATCGGTAGAGCACGAGACTCTTAATCTGAGGGTCGTGGGTTCGAGCCCCACATTGGGCAGAACTTTCCTGCATTGCAGGGGGTTGGAGTAGATGACCCCCGTGGTCCCTTCCGATTCTATGATGGTGATGAATTAAAGATTTTCTTGTGTAACAAAAAAGTACATATAGTATCTCCATTTTCATGCCAAGGGGTTGTGTTCACACATGAGCTAAGAATATCAGGATTTAGAGTAGGGATGGGGAATATATATATATATATTCCCCACAAAAACCGACACCAGATCCAGAGGCACACAGAACGCCATCACCAATCAACCACACCAGACCCAAACCCAGACCCTCTCCACAGATAAATTACAGACACCATCCAGTAGCCAAACCATGGTGGCACCTCCGGATGCTGCACCCCCCTGCAATCCCTACACAGATCTGGCTGGCACAGGACACAAAACCACAGCTCGCCCCTATACACGAAGCCAAGCCAGAGCACAACTAATTGCAGTACAGCCATCTTCTCAGAAAAACTCTTCACAAAGTTCAAGAGGTCAAGACACGAAGGCTTTAGCAACTAATCCACACCTAATGACCCACCTAAGTGGTACTCAGGATATCACTCAAGAAATCACTCAAGATATCCCTCAAGTAATTAAGGAACAAAAGAAGAAAAGGCATACTAACCTGGGAACTTCCTCTCTGCCCAGAACATTGGAGGCTATACACCACACCCCCTCAACAGTATTTATAGGAACTCAAACACTGAGATCCTGCTCTGTTCCAGTAACAAGAAGCCGAAAGCACCAGCCTGAAGATGACGAGTGAGACCTCGTCGAAACGTCGCCTAGACACCCCAACTTTTACACGGGAAGACACCCGAGGACACCAAAACCTGCATATATATATATATATATATATATATATATATATAACATTTAAAAATATTCATTTAGATAAAGGTAAAGGGACCCATGAAGGGACGCGGGTGGCACTGTGGGTAAAAGCCTCATCGCCTAGGGTTTGCCGATCAGAAGGTCGGCGGTTCGAATCCCCGCAGCGGGGTGCGCTCCCGTTGCTCGGTCCCAGCGCCTGCCAACCTAGCAGTTTGAAAGCACCCCAGGTGCAAGTAGATAAATAGGGACCGCTTACCAGCGGGAAGGTAAACGGCGTTCCGTGTGCTGTGCTGGCTCACCAGATGCAGCTTTGTCACACTGGCCACGTGACCAGGAAGTGTCTCCGGACAGCGCTGGCCCCCGGCCTCTTGAGTGAGATGGGCGCACAACCCCAGAGTCTGTCAAGACTGGCCCGTACGGGCAGGGGTACCTTTACCTTTACCTTTAAAGGGACCCCTGACTGTTAGGTGCAGTCGTGGACGACTCTGGGGTTGCGGCGCTCATCTTGCTCTATAGGCCGAGGGAGCCGGCATTTGTCTGCAGACAGCTTCCGGGTCATGTGGCCAGCATGACTAAGCTGCTTCTGGTGAACCAGAGCAGCACACAGAAACGCCATTTACCTTCCTGCCAGAGTGGTACCTATTTATCTGCTTGCACTTTGACGTGCTTTCGAACTGCTAGGTGGGCAGGAGCAGGGACCAAACAACAGGAGCTCACCCCGTCGCAGGGATTCGAACCGCCAACCTTCTGGCAAGCCCTAGGCTCTGTGGTTTAGACCACAGTGCCACCCGTGTCCCTTAAATATTTATTTAAAATATTCATTTAAACGACCTTAAATCAATGACTCCCCTTCTTCTCTTTCTGTGGTTCATTTTGCATACCATACATCCCTGCATATTTTACATGAACCAAACCATTCAGTAATCCATTGTTACATCCATCAAAACTTATTTACACTGTTGAATTTATCTTGGGGAACATCTGTGGCTCTCCAGATGTAGCTGGACTCCGTCTGGCCCGGCATGGCTAATGGTCAGAGAAAATGACAGCTCTGATGAAACAGCATCTGGGGAAGTCACAGGTTCCCTATCTCTACATTAAAAAGAAGCCAGAACTGTGAAGAGGGCAGCTAGGGACAGTGAAGGCAAGTGATAGTCTACTTGCAACCTTCCCAGATGTTGATGTACTCCAACTCCCATCAGCCAATCAGAGCCAGCCCGAGACATTTTGGTACCTGAGATGAACCACCGCTGCTTGAGAGCCCCACAACACCTACCCTGAGCATGGAAGACTCCCACTTTGTCGGCGTCCGATGCTGAGACGTGGAGGACCAGCTGGTGATCCTCGAAAATGTCCTCAGGCCCACGTGTTGTCAGGATCATCAGCGACATATCCCTGCGGTCTGGAGAGAAAAGCAGAGGGAAACTGACTGTAGCTCAGTCGCAAAGCTCTGAGCTGAATGGAGTTTAAATCAACCATCTTTATTCAGAGCTGGGGTAGCTCAGCCAGTAGAGCAAGAGACTTTCAGTTTCAGGGTTGTGGGTTGAACTCCATGTTGGGCAAAAGAGTCCAGCAAAAAAGACCCTTTCCAACTCTACAAATTCTAAGAACAATGAGGATGAGATTCTTACTTTAATTTAGGGGAAGGATCAGTGTTCAAAACTCCCATTGTTCTCAGCACATTTTTGCGACAGGGAATCTTATTAGCGCAAGCAGTTTCTTAGCTCTGGGGGCAGTAAGATTTCAGATTGCAGAGTGGAAGGAAAGGAGGACCTTTTTCTGCCTCCCCACTTCTAGCCACTCTCTGAAGACTGGAGAAGAGACCCTCTTAAGAATATTAGGGGGGTGGGCAGGGGAAGGACTAGACCATGTGAAAAATGAACATAAGATTTTAGCTGCAGTTCATTCATCTTCAGCTTTGTGTTGTTATAAAAAAGCACGCCTAGACAGTCGGCTGTTGTGCCCATAACCTAGGTTTAAGGTGTCATTTAGCTCCTAGCTTTCATCTCTCAGTTTCTAACACATGATTGATGAGTGCAAAATCTCCCAGGTTCAGTCCCTGGCATCTGTAGGTAGGGCTGGGAAGAGACGATTCAAAAAAGCCCTTCCTTCAGAACGATGAGGACTAGAATCTTGCTTTTTAAGGGAAGGGCCCCAACTCGGTGGCAGAGTGCCTGCCTTGCTGCAGAAGTTCCCAGGTTCAATTCCTGGCATCCTCAGGTAGGCTGAAGCATCCCCCCTGCCCTGAGCAGCTGCTGCCATTCAGAGTTAGCAATACTGAGTGAGACCCCATGAGTCTGACTCAGTGTAAGGTATAATAATAATAATATTATAATAATAATTTATTATTTATACCCCACCCATCTGGCTGGGTTTCCCCAGCCACTATGGGCAGCTTCCAACAGAATATTAAAATATTATAATCTATTAAACATTAAAAGCTTCCCTAAACAGGGCTGCCTTCAGATGTCTTCTAAAAATCTGGTAGTGGTTTTCCTCTTTTACATCCAGTGGGAGGGCGTTCCACAGGGCGGGTGCCACTACCGAGAAGGCCCTCTGCCTGTAACTTCCCTGTAACTTGGCTTCTTGCAGCGAGGGAACTGCCAGAAGGCCCTCAGCGCTGGACCTCAGTGTCCAGGCAGAACAATGGGGGTGGAGACGCTCCTTCAGGTATACTGGACCGAGGCCGTTTAGGTAGCCTTGGATCCGCCAGTTACTGACCCAAAAATGATTCCAGCTTCTTGTCCTCGTTGTCCATTTTATCTTGAGGTTCGTCCCTGTCGCAATTGACCAAGAGGATGGCTCCTTTGCCTTCGGGTCCCCACGTCCAGTTTTTCTGCAGGGACAAAAAGCATCAACCACGAGGCTTAGACCCACCACAAATATGTGGGACCCAACAGTGGCGTCACAACGGGGGGGGGGGGGCGGTGTGCCCCAGATGCCATGTCTGGGGGGTGACAATAAGGCACCCCGCGGGGGCTCACCCCACCGCGGTGGCGCAAGCAGCCATTGCGCCGCCACAGCCGCATGTGGAGGATCCTCCGTTCACGGCTTCAGCCGCGAGCAGAGGATCCCGGTGCCAGCGGCAAACTGCTATGTACAGTGCATGTGCAGCGTTGCTATGTACGGCACTTGCGTTGTACGTAAGAATGCCACACATGCGCCCTACGTAGCAATGCCCCGTCCCGGGTGTCACGACGCCTTTGTTTGCCCCTGGGACCCAATACAGTGGTACCTCGGGATACGAACGGGATCTGTTTTAGAGCCCCGTTCGCATCCTGAAGTAAACGTAACACGTGTCTGCGCATCTGCGCGGGACACGTTTTGCTGCTTCCGCGCATGCCCATGACGTCATTTTGAGTGTCTGAGCATGTGCGAGTGGCAAAACCTCTCCACAGGCTCCATCCCCCTCCTTGTTGAAAGGCTCTTGGGTTTCTTGCCTTGAAGGGCCCTTCAGGTGGAAAAGCAGCCTTTACTTTTTGGATATAAATAAGCACACGCAATATGCCCGGACTCCCCTATCCCTCCTTCCTGACCTTATTCTTGGCTCTCCTCTGCACGGTTCCTGAACGGTTCGTGTCGGCATCCAGGGAGATTTCTGCAGCATGGGGAGGCAGGAAAGACAAGGAGAGGAAACAGAAGAAAATTGGCATGTGGGAGCCCCAAACAGCCTGGCAGGATAGCTTGCTGATGCCAGGATGTCTGTGTTACCAAATACTGGAACATAGCCATCAATAGCCCTCTCCTCCACGAATCTGTCAAATCTTTTAAAGTCATCTAGGCTGGTGTTCGTCACTGCCTCATGTAGGACTGAGTTCCATATTTTAACTTCATGCAGTTGATGAAGTGAACTGTTGTCGATGAAAGTTTTCTATCATAATGAAATTGTTTGTCTTTAAAGTGCTAGTCCTCTGGAAGTAGGTCTTGGTGGCATTAACTATGATTAATAGTGAATAGCTATGCCATGAAAGGTGCTTGAATTAACTGCATGAGCCCGGAACTCATTGTCCAGTTCACCCATATCAGCCCTGACCATCAACAAAAGCCAAGGAAAAATAGACAATATGCTTGTGTTGTTTTTCCCTATGCACCCAGATTTCTCTCTCTCTCTCTCTCTCTCTCTCTCTCTCTCTCTCTCTCACACACACACACACACACACACACATTCTATTTTCTATACAGTTCCTGTCTTACCCACACAGGTGAGGTGGAGCAGAGCTTTTGCCATTGGTGTCCTCCCGTTGTCCTTGTAGTATGAAATTCTGACCTGCCAAGATATGGCCAATTTCAGTAAATGGAGTATTTATTATTATTTTGCATTTAGTATTAATAATTAATACCCTACCCATCTGGCTGGGTTTCCCCAGCCACTCTGGGCGGCTCCCAACAGAATATTAAAAGCACGATAATACACCAAACATTAAAAACGTCCCTATACAGGGCTGCCTTCAGATGTCTTCTAAAAGTCAGATAGTTGTTTATTTCCTTGACATCTGATGGGAGGGCATTCCACAGGGCGGGTGCCACCACCAAGAAGGCCCTCTGCCTGGTTCCCTTGTAACCTCACTTTTCGCAGTGAGGGAAGCACCAGAAGGCCCTCGGCGCTGGACCTCAGTGTCCAGGCTGAACGATGGAGGTGGACACGCTCCTTCAGGTATACTGAAGGATGACAACAGATGTGATTTGAGATGCACTTGATCACCTCTTCCTCACCTTTTCTCAAAGTTAAAAAGTCCTGAACGTTGCAACCTTTTCTTACAGGGAAGCTGCTCCAATGATAGCTATAGTAATGCCAGCGCACCTTTTTCCAAATCAGGTTTAGCTCTTTCCTTTCCCCCTCTGCTCCATCAAAGCCATCGGAGTTTCTCACCTTGTCCTCGTTGACTTCAGCGCTTGGCTGGTCCATCGTGACCACCACCTCGACTTTACAATCAAGGGGCCATTTCGGCACACAAGAGGGGATCTTCAAAACCTCCCCATTGTGGATAATATAGAGGTTCACCCCAGATGTTCCCCAGACATCAAAGGCTGTGGCGCCACTTGGGGCTGCCCTGAAAGAGAGAGAGAGAGGATAATTCACAGCACCCATTCCATTTACCATTTACTGTACATTTTGCTCCTAAAAAGAGATCTCCATCCTTCCCTCCATTTTATCCCAACAACTCTAGGAGGTAGACCAGGCCAAAAGGTAATGACTGGCTTGAGGTCAGCCAATGAGATTCCTGGCAATGAGGGGATTTCTTTTTAATATTAAAAGCAGTCATTGCCACAGGCCATCTTAGAAGGCAGCCTGGAGGTGTCATCTTCAAAGATGCTCATCTATACAATCCTACTTAAAAGTGAAAAAGTGTCCCTTAAAAAAAATATCCAAATGACTTTTATTCACACAGATGTAAGTTGTGGATGAAGTGGATTCGCTCGCGAGAAATCAGTCTTTTAGTGCGGCAGTAGCTAATCTCTGGAACTCCAGCTTTAGCAGAGATTCCTGCATTGCCTAGATGACTCTCAGGGTCTCTTCCAACTCTACTATCCTAAGGGATTCAGTGTCTCCCCAAGTCCATTATCGGTCAGAGATAAAAGGATGGAAGCAGGAAGCAACGCAAGCAAGGCAGATATTTATTTTTCTGTTGCAACAGAGTTTCCCACCTCCTTGCAAGGAGGTGAGAGACCAAGAACAAAGGTGTGCAAGAACCTTTAAAGACTTTTGAAATTGCCCAATACCTTACTGAAAGACCACCTAAAAAGCATCATACAAACCATCACAGAAAGAGGCGGTCTACAACAGAAATTTGAGAGTGTGGCTTCTCTCCTGTCTGCCAGGATACCTGATAAGGTTTCACTGATTGCATTACCTGGGCGGTCTGGCCATTCTTTTGAGATGGCAAATACCCGAGTTCTTGAATCCAGGTCATAGGCCAACCCGGTCCATACACAAAATATGCCCTTAAGACAAGATTGGGAGGATTTGTAAGTCAAAGAACAATTGGGAAAGGTTTCTCCAAGATATTTCCTTCTGCAGAAGAAACATTTAGAGCAGTGTTTCCCCAACTTGCATCTCCAGCAGATTTTGGACTACAATTCCCATCCTCCTTGACCACTGGTCTTGATAGCTTGGCATGATGGGAATTGTAGTCCAAAAACAGCTGGAGACCCAAGTTTGGGAAACAATGGTTTAGAGCAGGCATCCCCAACCTTCGGTCCTCCAGATGTTTTAGACTACAATTCCCATCATCCCTGACCTGTTAGCTAGGGATCATGGGAGTTGTAGGCCAAAACATCTGGAGGGCTGCAGGTTGGGGGTGCCTGGTTTAGAGTCTTTAGGAGAGTCAAGATGGCTTCAGGATTGCTCACCTGTACTATTTTGGACATGCGGTTTTTATAGGTACTTGTGTTTTATAGGTACTTGTGTGTTTACCTGTGCACTTACGAACATTTGTTTTATTTTTGAGACCTTAGGATTCTTATTACACTCCTTAGATTAGGCAAGAATCTGGCACCAGTTTTTGTGGTTTCAGGGCTCGGGCCCTTCCCACGGGCTGAGTGGGTGTTTGTGGCAGCTTCCTCTTGGATCCTTTCCCGCAAAGGCCAAACCCTCTGAGATGTCGTCATCATCAGGCCCTGAGCCAGCAGGCCAGAAGTTGCCAAACCGGGAGAAATTAAGCTCTCTTTTTTGCTCTCGTCTCCCCTCACCAAGCAACCAACCAGCGTCGTGACAAAAGCAAGGTTAGAACAAAAGCCTTGTGGCTTGTAGAAGCACAGTGGACTGCCAAGGTGTGTTGTTTGTGTAGGGTTTGGTTGCCAGATAAGGGTCAGGTGTCAAACGTCAACACATCCTGACCCTCCAAGAGTATGAGGAGAGCATCTCTGCCTTACATCAAGAGGCAGGGAGTTCCAAAGTGTAACTATATCAATTATTTCCAAATGCAGAGCAGGCAATAAGTAGCACCTGCAATGCTGCTAGTTTTGCAAATCAAAGCAGACAAATGGGCTTGTATGGGGGAAGGCAATCTTGCAAGTATGCGAATCTGATCTGAGCCAAAAAGAGACAACGGATCATGCTCCGACAGCTGCAGAGTCACTGTGCGGCTTGTGAGCAAAGGGTCTCCTCGTGAGCAAGCAGTCCTTGAGCTTCCTTTGCTTCTAGCAGCTGGGGTGGGTTAGGAGGCCAGAATCATAGAATTGGTAGGCAACTCCAAGAGTCATCTAGTCCAACCCGCCCCCCAACACACACACACACACACACACACACACACACACACACACACAAAATGCAGGAACCACAGAGCAATCAAGGTCTCCCTTCTGAGCTTCCTAATGGCTGAAAACAGGCCAGCTCTTTCGCTCCTGAGCCCACCCTTTGAAATACTGACCCTGGGCTGGTGCTGATCCAGCCTTTGGATCTCGTATTGGACCTGGACCCCTGATTCTCCCTGCTTGACCGTCATTTCTTTGGAGGCTGCTGCCCCCTGCAACCCTGCCTTTTCCTGGGAGGCTCCTGTAACCTGGATCGGAACCCTAGCCCCCTGACAAGCGTGGCTGCAGGTCACTGCCTGCTGATGCCTGCACATTCAGATCCTCTTAAGAGGCCCAGCTGGCAAGTCTCAACACATCCCCCATGCCGGGCTCTGATCACTGGCACATCCAATCTCTGCTGCTCATTATCCTGCAACCAGCTCACGCCCAGACTGATTAGCTCAGCTCCAGCTGGATGAGGCTCTCTGTGGAGGCTTTGCTGGGCCTGCAGTCGGAGCAGCAAAGCTTCTGAATACCAGTTGCTAGAAACCACAGGAGGGGAGAGTTGCTCTCGGGCTCCTATCCTTGTCTGGTTTCCTTGCCTGTTTGGCCACCGGGAGAACAGGAGGCTGGACTAGGTGGGGCCCCACAGGCCTGATCCTGTTCTTACGTCCTACCCAGCCTGGATTCCTGCTCCGTCCTGACTTCTCTGGCTAAGACAACGCCACATTTTTTACAGGAATGGTTTCTTCAGTTTACGACAACACTGGGGAACCTGTGGCCCTCAAGAGGTTGTGCAATTGGGAGCTTAATAATAGTAATAATATAATTTATTATTTATACCCCACCCATCTGGCTGGGTTTCCCCACCCATTCTGGGCAGCTCCCAACAGAATATTAAAAACACGAGAAAACATAAAATTTTAAAAACTTCCCTAAACAGATGTCTTCTAAAAATCAGATAGTGTTTATTTCTTTGACATCTAATGGGAGGGTGTTCCACAGGGTGGGCGCCACTACCGAGAAGGCCCTCTGCCTGGTTCCCTGTAACTTCGCTTCTCGCAGTGAGGGAACCACCAGAAGGCCCTCAGCGCTGGACCTCAGTGTCCGGGCAGAACAATGGAGGTGGAAACGCTCCTTCAGGTATACTGGGCCGAGGTCATTTAGGGCTTTGAAGGTCAGCACCAACACTTTGCATTGTGCTTGGAAACGTACTGGGAGCCAATGTAGGTCTTTCAATGTAGGTGTTATGTGGTCTCAGCAGCCACTCCCAGTCACCAGTCAAGCTGCCGCTTTCTGGATTAGTTGTAGTTTCCGGGTCATCTTCAAAAGGTAGCAACATCTGGAGGGCTACAGCTTTCCCAGCCCTGAACTAAACCATCACTTGCCTTTACTGCCCCTACTTAAAACCATCCTAATCATGGAGAACTTGCAACCTTCCTGTGATTGCTGGACTCCAAATCCCATCAGCATCTCTGGCGAAGCTTCTCTGACTGATGGCAATTGGAGTCCAACAACATCTGGAGGGCCAAAGGCTCCCCGTTCGTGAACTGGGCTATCAGTTGCCTTTACTGCCCCTCACAGCTACCTTCCATTACAACTACCGTAACTCTGCCTTCCTCTAAAGCAGGAATGAATGTTGAACTATAACTCCCCTAGTAATCCATGATCATTGGCCATGCTGGCTGCCAGGACTGATGAGAGTCAGAATCTAGTTTGCAGTACTTATGAGGCCGCCTTACTCCATATATGCCCACTGAGCCACTTCCATGGGTGGAACTGGCATTGTAAAGCTGCCATATCATACTCATGCTGCATTTGTAAGAATTCAACTGTTTACTGCATCTGCACTTCGGAACTCCTTGTCCATTGATACCAGTCAGGTCCCTTCAGTATAATTTTTTTTGTCACCTGCTTAAAACATTGTTTAGAGAATCCTGCCCAGATGCTTAGAAAGCCAGTGAGAGTTTTAATCTGTTCTTTTAATCCATTGCTATTTTAACATTTTGAAAGTTTATTGGTAATTTTTCATATGGATCATTTTATTGCTTTTTTTTCAAAGCCACTTTGTGGGATGGTTGGGATTATTGTACACAATCAAGTAATAGATGCATTTATAGGTAAACAGGTAAATGGTAAAGGGACCCCTGACCATTAGGTCCAGTCGTGGCCGACTCTGGGGTTGCGGCACTCATCTCGCTTTATTGGCTGAGGGAGCCGGCGTACAGCTTCCGAGTCATGTGGCCAGCATGACTAAGCCGCTTCTGGCGAACCAGAGCAGCGCACGGAAACGCCGTTTACCTTACCGCCAGAGCGGTACCTATTTATCTACTTGCACTTGGACGTGCTTTCGAACTGCTAGGTTAGCAGGAGCAGGGACCAAGCAACGGGAGCTCACCCCGTCACAGGGATTCGAACCGCCGACCTTCTGATCGGCAAGTCCTAGGCTCTGTGGTTTAACCCACAGCGCCACCCGCGTCCCATAGGTAACCAGGCAGAGGGCTTTTTCAGTAGTGGCGCTCACCCTGTGGAACGCCCTCCCATCAGATGTCAAGGAAATAAACAACTATCTGACCTTTAGAAGACCTCTGAAGGCAGCCCTGTTTAGGGAAGTTTTTTTTTTTTTTTTTGTATTTTTAATAATTTGTTGTAAGCCAGGCAGAGTGGCTGGGGAAACCGAGCCAGATGGGCGGGGTATAAATAATATATTATTATTTGTTGAAATTGCCATCATCAAATGGGGCAGAGGATGGAGGGTGCCTGAGCGCCCCACTTGCATGGGTCAGAGAGGCTGCTTGTGAGCTGCCCTTTGTGTGCC